AGTGAGGCCAGACCTGATTGATTAGACCTTAGGTCCCACTGAAATACTTTGCTACAGATGATCTCACAATGCTCTGAGCAGATAGAGAGCAGCCCTTTGCCTCTCCCCAGACCACCATTTTTTATTTTTTTTATCAAGTCTTCAGGAAAAACCATAGGTCAAGACTTGTAAAATTGTCCTTGGAACAGCAGTGTTGAACACTGAGGTCTACATGTAAAACAGAATCTAGGTTTAAATTCCTTTGGTTCTCAAGGGGCAAATAAATCCAAATTTATGGGTGTCTACACAACTAAGATAGAGCCAGGCATGGAGCCAGAAGAGATGGAGGCTGTGTGTAGTAGAATCAACACTCATTCTGTCATTCTATTCTGGCAAGTTTCCTCTCTGAGGTCAAGGGGGTTAGGACTGTTACTTTTATTGTTGATAGCCATAAAGATGCATTCATCTCACATGATCTAGGATGGGGTTACAAGATTTTTAAAAGAGACAACCAAAAGGCCATGGATCTTTTTGACCTGTTTGACCTTGAGTAAGTTACTTGAACTCTCTTAGTCTGTTTCTTTATCCAGACAATGGGAATAATATCTGTTGTGAACTGAACTGTGTGCCCCCAAAATTCATTATGTTGAAGCCCTAACCCCCAATGTGAATGTATTAGTAGACAGGGCTTTTAAGGAGGGAATTAAGGTTAAATGAAGTCATAAGGGTGATACCCTAATCCAATAAGACTACTATCTTTATAAGAGGAAGAGATACAGGGAGCATCCCACTTTAATTTCTTCCCACGTGGACTATTCTGAGTCCTCTTAACTCTCAGTGACAGCAAGTGGTCTCCTTGCCCCACATCTCTACGTCTCAAATCATCTAAAAAACATTCTCTCCAAATTAGCAACTTAAAATCTCTTCCAAAAACTTTCCAGACTTTCCAATTGTGGAGGGTGTGGTAATGCTGGGCCGCAAAACCAATACTAAGAAAACGTGTGTGTGTGTGTGTGTGTGTGTTTTAAAGTCACAAAGTCCTTAAATTGCTCTAGATCTGGCTTTCAGGTGAAAAACACAATATTGGCTCATTTAAAAGTTGGAAATGACAGTTGTTTAAAATGATATAGACTCTGTGATGTGTATTTTATAATTCAAAGAGCATAAGATAATTGGGTCATTAAAAAATAATCATCCAATTTAAGAGCAGGTGAGGCAAGTGGACTTCCAGGTCCTGTCAGACCATAAGAATCTCTGATTCTTTAAAGGTCGATGCCATTTTATACATTTGTTCTTTCATTCATTCATTTACTCACTCAACAAGTGTAAGTGTGTACCCTGTGCATGGCTAAAGAATAAATTGTGCAATGAGTAATGACCTCCAAGAGAACAGAAAGATTGAAGAAGAGGGATAAGATGTCAGACGGGGGAAGAAAAGTTCTAGGTGGGACTCTCAAGCCAGGTAGATACGGTAGTTGACAGCCAGGCTAGAAACTCCCCAGAGCTAACTCCTTACGTCTTTCTTTAACCTTCTTTCTGTACTTCCCTCTTGGCCATTCTTCATTAAAACTTGGACTTGAATGAATACTATAAGCCAGGAGCTCACAGTCTAGTAGGAGAGAGGAAGAATGAGAGATTGAAACATGGATCGTTACAATTCAGTTTAAAGGAAGAGCATCTAGGGAAGATTCAAGGCTGACTTCTTAGAGGCCTCTCAGAGTAGGTAATGGTCAAAACAGGATAAACAGAGTTACAAAGCAGTTTGGAGATGCTGTCACTCAGTGTGGAGCACAGAATGCAAGATGAGACTTCAGGCCCGAGGCAGGAAATGAAGCTCTGTAGGTCCAATTAGCCAAGTGGGTCTCTTCTGGGGGAGTTTTTCTTCTAGTAACATGGTTGTTCTGTTTCATGGGATGATTGCCTTCCAACCCATGCCCTAAAAACCTTTATGCAACTCATCTTAACAAACTGTTTTACTCCGAAGCTGATATTTAAGTCTCTCCCAGAGGCCCATTCCAGCCCACATTTCTTGGATGAAACTGGACTGTCAATAAAGCAGCTACTTGCTGTTCCCTGAGCATTCTTCTCTGCTTCAAAGCTTCCACTCCATCATGTAGCTCTGCCTCTCCCCTCCTTGCTCCCTCACCCCGTCATACACAGAGGTTTTACACCCTTAAAACTCTAGTCCACGTGTGGCAAGCTGGAAAGGTTGTGACTTAAAACCTGGAATTTTGGTGTCTCTTGGAAAATTAGGAGCTGGTATGCCTGGGCCTGAATCTCTGCATGGCAACAAGTGGCTGAAATGTAGTCGGGTTATCTTTCAGAGGAGCCCATGCCCTGCAGTTTACAGCATGCGTCTCTCTGGCTTAGCTGCCTGGCCTCCATAGCCTTTGGGTTTCCATTCCTTAACCTAATAAATGTCAGCCCTTTTGTGATCTAAGAATTATAGAACTCATAATGAGGACATGTGCAGCTATATAAGCAAAAAAGTAATGGGAAGAGTCAATTCCCTCATTATTTAAAAGCAAAACTAATCATCCCTTTCACTGGTCATTTGTAATACTTGTAATACATTGTAATACTTGTATCTACAAGGACCAAGTTGGGAATAATATTTTTGTCAGACAATTTTTGATTCCATATAATAGCTTCTCTGCTTCTGGCAACCTAACAAGCTAATCAGTGAATTCTAAACAATGCCCCAGGCTCCATGCTAAGCTATCTACCTGCATTAGTTCATTTAATTTCCTCTACAACTCAACTACCAGTATCTTCTCCAATTTACCCAAGAGCAATTATTCAAATTGCCCAGTTGTGAGGTAATTAAGATGAAAACCTAAGTAGGCTGACCCCAGGGCTGTCTTCCTCATTAAATCCTGCCCACCCTTACCAAGGAACAAGTACCCTATATCTGACGTAGACACCATTTTATGCAAGCACATCACACCTCCAGTGGTGGGTTATAGCAGCAGTTCTCAACTGGACCAGCATATCAGCATCACCTAGGAACCTGTTAGAAAGATAAATCATCTGGCTATAGACCAGACCTGATGAATCAGTAATTCTGGGAACGGGCCCAGAAATGTGTTCAGAAGCCCTCTGGGTGATGCTGAGGCACCCTGAAATTGAGAACCACTGGGCAGAGGTCCAAAGTGCTTGCTTTCCGAGTTTCTTGTTCCTCTACTTGACTACTCATTTAACCAAGTTCCTTAAACTAAGGCCGCCTTGATCAGTTTTATCTCTACCATACTTACGAAATGACTGAATGAATGTGGCAGGCAAAGATATTTAACAACGCCCCTCACTCATTAGTGTAGGATGAATGTGATTTCAGCAATACTTAAAAACAAAACAAAACAAAACAAAAAAACAGAAACCTTGGAGCTCTTTATCCTTCCCAAGTAAATCCCAATCCAGAGATTGCCTAAGAAGCCTGTCAGTGGAATAAAAGGATTCAGTTTAGTAAACCTGAGCAATGCTGGAAATTTAGCAGAATACTGAGGGGCAGCATATTTTCAAAGGAGACTGTACTCAGAGGCAGTGCCTCTCAAATTCACATTCTCCTGTAACTCAATTTCCAGTAGCAGAACACATCTTTTAATTCTTTGACTTAAAAGAGTTGAGGTATTTCCCTTGTTAATATGCTCATTAGAGATAAAGGCTGCTGCAGTGCATTAGTTACCACAGAAGGCTACCATGTTACTTATTGGCTTCTAGTTTTAGGCCTCTGAAGAAGAAATGCATACCACAAATTGGGAATACATAAAAATCTGGAGTATTTGCTTTACTTTATAGAACACTTAAGTCATTCTGGGTTAAAAGTATAAAATTACAAAATCTAACTATATACAGAGGTCTTTCTGTTGCAGGATGCTGTCAAAATTGGCAAATTCTTCAAGTGGTGTTGGTCCCAGTCAGAAGTTACTCCAGACACAAAACTTCTATAAAACTGATGATAGAACCTCAAAATGGCCCTACAGCCATGCCCCTGCTACAAAGTGACTTGCTTGTGATGAACAGGACACTTGGTAAGTGGTCAAAGATCAAGTCTTTCGTAAAAGATAACTGCAATCACCTCATACTCACAAAACACTTTGTGGATATTCTTTTGGATGGAACTGTTGTCAGCGAGACTATCTTCTATGACTTGCACTCAAATGCAAGGCCAGAAGGCAGGCAAAGTTCAAGCTTGGGGAAATAAAAAAATAGGCAAATCAAATGATTCTTCCAAAAGCTGTGATTTTAGGTGTTGTCTATATCATTAAAATAATTTCCCAGGAGCAGAATAAACAGAGGATAGTAATATGCAAAATATTCCATTTTGTTTTATTTTTATGGATAACTGTCATTAATACAGCAGGAACTGGTATGATTATAAAAGATACAAAAAAAAAAATCAGAATGTTAGCATTCAATAGAAATTAAAACCTGAGCTGAAGGCTGATAAGAAAGTCTGACACTTGGCACTGTTCTGATGAAAGTGAAGAAACATGTATGCTAGACTCCAAAAATAATTCCTATTAACTCAGAGAAAGTTAGCTTACATTTCAAAATCTACACATGGAGCTACAAATGCACCAACACTTGAATTAAACGACTTTAGCTACCAGCTTAAACATTTGTTTAAGATAACTAGTGTTACCTAAAACTCTCAAAGGGGGAAAGCAAGGAAGTGTAAATTGTAGGTTTCTAATTAACAAGTTGAGGTGTGTTGGTATATGGTTTAATTATTTATTCATGTAGATCTAAAAGGCTAGCTCAGCTTGTCAGAGCATAAGAGAATGTCAAAAGACAAAGGCATGGGGATGGATCAACGTAAGTCCACCCCAACTTCTGAAAAACAAGAGACAGCCTAACACCACTTCAAAGAACCGTGCTTCTAAGAGTAGACTTGCAGTCTAATTCAATTCTCACTTTGGCTTCTAGAATATCTCTAGAAGTGGAAAAGAGGGAAATTCAATTCCTTTAATTAATAACTGTCCCTTAGCAGAAGGGGCAACAAAACGAAACAAAAACAAAAAGCCAACAGAGGGATGGGCTTTGTTGATTAAAAATCTGTGAACATGAATACATGTTAATATGTTGAGTCTTGAGTCATACTTACAAACCAGTGGTTAATATACTACAAAACTTTACAAACATAAAATCTCCTCATCAGTTGCAGAACCTCCGACCTAATGGGATTAACTTCTTCTCCCTTTTAACTACTCCTTCCACAGAAAGTCCTAAAGCTGAGGAGTCATCAGAATACCTATACTTTTACATGTGTCATCAAAACATGGTTGTTTTTGTCAAAATGATGCAGGAAGTAATATCACATGAGGTCAAGGATCTTATATTCTCTTAAAACATAGTTTCAGTTTTTTGTACTCCAAGTTACATTAAAAAAAAAAAAAAGATGAGAACAGTTGGACTCAGTTTCTTTCAGCCCAATGTCATTACAATGTCTCCATGCTAGGAAAGGATATAGTATTTAAGAGCTCTATTACAAAATATCTCCAGTTCTAAAAGAGAGAGCTTTTGTTTATTTATTTATTTTTAAAGGCTGAAGCAGCACCCTTTCCTTAGCGGAGACCAGCCACTGACTTCCTACCTGTACCAGCTTTCCAGGATGACACTAAGTGAGTTTTTGATCTAATGTTTTTGCCCCGGGTTTTACGAGGTTTCTCTTCTTTGTGCACCTTCATGTGCTGCCTAAGATGAGAGCTCTGGCTGAAGCATTTGCCACATTCACTGCACTGGTAGGGCTTCTCCCCTGTGTGGGTTCTCTGATGCTGAATAAGGTGGGAACTCTGGCTGAAACATCGGCCACACTCATCACACTGATAGGGTTTTTCTCCAGTATGAATTCTCTGGTGCTGAATGAGATTTGAGCTCTGTTTAAACCTTTCTCCACACTCATCACATTTATAGGGTTTTTCCCCGGTATGGATCCTCCGATGCTGAATGAGGTTAGAGCTCTGAAAGAAACTTTTCCCACAATCGGCACATTTATGGGATTTCTTTCCAGTGTGAATCTTTTGGTGTTGAAAAAGAGTTGAGCTCTGACTGAAACTCTTTTCACATTCAGTACATTTATAAGGTTTCTCATCCAGGTTTCTTCTCAGTCTACTCAAGCTTGAGTCAAATCGAACAGTCATTCCCCATCTTTGCCGCTGCCGGCCTGTTTTGCGTGAGTTTTCATAGGCTTTTCCTTGGCTCGAGCTCCGAGAAATACTTCCCTTCGGTTTTCCTAACCGCATGGTGATGAGCCAAATATATTCTTAAGAGTCTGCTCTCTTCTTCTGAGCTGAAGTTTCACTTCCTAGAGCTACGTAGCTCAATTTTCTGTGTAGAAGAAAAACAAAAAAGCCAAAGTAGATCACTCTTTATTGTTATTATTCAACCTGAACCCAATTATTCAATCTTCAACCCACAGAAACTGCATCCCTGTGTAAATTAAAAATGTATCTGATACATATGAAAATAAAAACAATTCTGCAGGGGAAATATTTGCAAAATAATTCTAATAATTCCCAGGGTTTCAATTTAATAAATATCCCCAAATTTTGACCAAATTTACCTATGGAGTTTTTGTCTGTTGGGACAGAATAGAAGTGATAAATGGGAACTATAAATTTTCATTAGGCATTATCAAATGAGTATATAACTGAAGGATTAAAAGGTGGAGACACCATAATATCGTAAGAAATAACTCTGAAAGACAATCAAAATTTCGGGATTAGAATATTTACTTCCATGTTAAAATTCTACTTACTTACTTACTGGTGACTATTTAAAGCATCCAAATTAGAAAGAGATGACAAATTACACTACTTCATTAAATTAATTTTGTTTATCCTTTCTTGTTTCACCATTCTACTGTCACAGCATGAATACGACTTGGCTCTTTGTAGCATTGTTTTGAAAGTAGGACTACCTTATAAGGAATGGCAAGTTTCCATGAGTCAATTCAGTAATACTGGATGAGAAAAACGTAAAAAAAAAAAAAAAAAAAAAAGATGCCTTATTGGTTTTGGTTTTTTTTTCCCCTTAGAGTCTAATGACCCAAGAAAGAGGACAATACTTTGAAAATTTGAAATAAGTAAATTGTTTCTGGAGAAGAAAAAAAATCAGAAGAATTTTTGCTGGAAAATAGGATGAAACTGAGTAGAAACAAAGGGTGGTGAGTAGAACACAAGAAAAGGAGGGGAAGAAAATAAGTTTACATGCAAAAACAGAAGTTTTAAAATACTCAAATGCTGCAAAAATTCAAATAAAATAATTTCATTTATTTATTTATAAGGTTATTTAAAATAATGGCCATAAACAAATAAGTCATAAACTCTAACCAGGTGACAAAGTGGGGTAAGCTAGGTTGAGAAAGTAATAAAATGAGTGAAACTATTTTTCACATCTTGTGTCAGGAACTAGACTTCAAAATGGGAATAATTACCCTGAGTCTTTGCATACAAGTTTATAAAACAAATAACTGAAAATACAAATGACATCATTGTTCTTGCCTTTCCTTCATCTTCTTATGTAATTCAGACTCCAGGCCTGGTAGTACTGAGGACTTTATTTGGATATTTAATAATTATCTGTTGTAATTACAATTAAGTATCAGAAAGAGCAAACTGCATACAATACCAATCACCGAAGGAGCACCACTCATTAACTTTGGTCAATATTTGCAGAGTATCTATTACAGAATATTTACCTATTTACAGAATATCTGTTTCAAGGAGACATTTGTTAGGTACATAGTGTTGATGTTCAAAACACAGCTATCATGGGAAGTACACATTGAAAAAAATTATTTTTTCATGCTACAGAAGTCAGATCTGGTAGGAAACTGAGACTATGCAGTCCACCTAGAACACTACAGTAGGAAATCATACTGAGAGGCAGCCTTAGTGGTACGCCAGACACTGTTCTATAACCTTTAACTCCCATAGCAGCTTTATGCGATGCTTTCCATTTTACAGCTAGGAAAAGGCAGGCCGACTTTGGCCAGGTCCCCAACCCCTAGCAGCCTGATCCTAGAGCCTGTCCTCTTGGTGGCCGAACTGACGTCCAGCGCCGAGACCGGTGCTCAGCATAATTCCTCCGCAGGTGGGGATGTTACGGTAAACCTGAGCGATGGAGGTGCAGTCGTGCGAACGCGCATACCCGGAATGGACCTGCTTTCTCCTACATAAAACTGGGACGACAACAAAGCTGCGACATCGTCGGGGTGTCAGAGGCGTAAAGGAGTCCGTATCTGCGGCTCGCTCCTAACAGCCCTGTGCTACCTCAGCATCCGATCCAAGAATTTAGTCCTGAAAAGCGCCGGGCGACGGCCGTCGTGGGGACTGTGGCCCGCCCCACAGGCGCTCCCGTGCAGGCCTCCGCCCTCCCCAGGCCTCCGCCGGCCGCTCCTCGCAGGCCGGGCCCGCCCAGCTCCCTCCGCCCTCGTCCCCGCCCGGCGCCGAGCCTTCCTAGCGGACCCGGGTCTACGCCGCCCGGCGGCTGCCAAGCGGCGCCCGAGCGGCCTCCAAGCACCGGGCCGCGCGCCCCCAGCCCACTCACCGCGCAGCGGGCCGCCCGCCGCCACCCTGGCTCGCTCGCTCGCTGGGCGCCCCTCGCGCCGCCGGAAGTGCGGGCCTTGCCGTCAGTTGGCGCCCCGCGGCCGCTCTAGGAACGTGGCGGCGGCGACCCTCTATGGTGCTGGGCCCACCGGAAAGAAGAAACCCTTTGCTTCCCCCTGTTTCCTTTTCCCGCCGCGCCGAAGTCCTCCCGAGGACCTGAGAAGCGCGAGACCTGTGGCCGGGTTCTTTTGTGTGCGCGCCGTGGCCTCCGGAGCCGGCTGACTGCAGCCTGGTCAGTGGGGGCTTTTGAAAGGCGGCACCGGCCTGACCAACCCCTAGACCTCATTCTGCCCATAAGTTTTGAGCATTTACTAATTATAAAGCGGTACTCTGGAGAGCCGAAACTGTTACTGATGCGGTCCCCCGTGCTTAAAAAAGGTGGTTTGTTGTTGTTGTAGTTGTTTTTTAACCAAGTAAATGTCAAGATTTTTTTTTAATTCCAGTATAGTTAACTTACAGTGTTATATGAGTTTCAGGTAAATTTTAAGATCTCAGTTAGCTTTCCTAAGCAATTCGTGAATGGGTAGCATCCCATCTAGGAAGTAGAGATGTTCCAAGGAGTTGTACAAAATGAAAGGTTTTTATAGGAAGGAGGGTGGAAAAAAGAGTTATTAGCGAAAGAAAAAAAAAAATTGTGATATTTTGGTGGGGAGGGAAGGAAAGGCAGTTTTTGTCATGAGGATGAACTCAATAGTGCCCCTAAGGAAATTTCAAATGTTACAAGTCCACATTTCTGGGATAGGTTGAAACTGTAACTAAGTCTTGGTTTCCCATGGGCAGAGGCGGTGAGGGGGGTGGGGGCAAATGATTCCATTTTGGGCTTAACACCTTAATTACAACAAAAAAGCCTCTGGAGGATGGGAATGATCATACTCTATAGATAAGGAAACCGAGTCTTAGAGAAGTTTGCTCAAGTTCCCACAGCGTGTTAAGTGGAAGAGCAAGGATTGGGAGGGCTCTTTTTGGCACCAGAGTCTCCTGATTTTCAGCATAACCCCTCGTTTCTCTTTAATAATGATCTCTCCTGGTTCTCCTCTCTTAAAAGCTCCTCCTCCTCCACCAGCCTGGCAGGGGCTAGGTCATCTAACCTCTCCTTCTTTCTCTTTGCCCTCATTCCCCTGTAGAGCTGCTCCAGTCTGATGGCTTCCAATACCATCTGTTTACCTGAAGACTCCTGACTTGGTAACTCTAGTCTGACCCTGGGATGCAAACAGTATTAAACTCCAGACCTGTATATATCCAATTGTTTATTCAGCTGCCATTTGCATGTGTGCCAGACATCCTGAACCCAACCTGCACCACAGAGGAATTGCTGACATTCACCCAACCTGTTCCTTCAACAGTCTTCATCCCAGCAGTTGATGGCAACTCCTTCTTTCTAGTTGCTCAGGGCCAAAAATCTGACTTTGTGTCTTTTTTCACCCCAAATCCAAACCCAATCCAACTCTGAATTCTGGTGTCTCTGTCTTCAAATATATACTGAATTGAACTGCTTTCAGCACCTTCACTGCTATTACCTCCACCAAGCTGAGGCTTCTCTGAGAAACGACCCCACAGGGACCAGTGTACCCTTGAGCCTAGTTGTATTTGAAGAGCTCGTTCTAAGAAGAAGGGTGTACACACATGACGTGGAAAAGCTCCGTTTTAGCAGAGAGCACTGCTGCATTTGGCAAGACCACAAGAGAGGCTGGTCACAAGTGCAGTAACAGCCCTGGTCCATCTCACACAAAGGGACCCCGACAATGGCTCTGTCCACCAAGCACGAGACTTTGCTTTCTGTTTCCTTTGGTTTCCCTGGGAAAGGAAACTTTGGGGATTCCCATTCCTGGGTTTGCAGAAAACATCTCTATTAAAAGCATGGCCAGGAGGGAGCAGAGCCCCACCCTGCATGCCGTGAGTCCAGGGGTAGGTCAACAGCTGGCTTTCTTCCAGGCAATCTCAGCTTGTGGGGCCAAAATACCGCACGTGTACACGTGCTGTTTTTATACTTAGAACTTTTTCTTGGCTTGGCTCTGACTGCACTTCCTGCTTGATCATAGTTGAGGGACTGAGGCAGGGGGGCTGCTGCCCACCCGGGCACCTGGGAAGGATATCCCGCTCCTACTCCACAGCTGCAGGGTGCCTGCCTCCTGCCCACGGGGGCACACATTGTGCTTTGCTGGCTCCTCGGCAAATCACCTGGTCAGAAGGTTGATAAGCCTTGTGCTTTGTTTCCCTGGGACTAAAGGACCAGATGTATCCTGGGTGAACACATGGCTTTATTGTGACAGTGGGAAGGCCTTTAATCCATTTTCTGGTAAACAGTCCTGCAGGTGGCATATGGTTATCACATGAGAAAAACAAGCTGTTTTTTTGGTTCCTTCTGATGATTTGTTCTGGGCAAACCACCCTGTTTTGCCTGAGTCCAGTCCTTCTTTTGCAATCCTGTTGATTTCATTCTGTGTTTATTATTTTCTCTGGTTCCTGAGACCTGACCTGGGAAGACAGTCCTGTTCTAGGAGAGGACATTCACTCATAGGGATCTGTACTTTGGTTTTGGATACTTTTGTTGTCTGAGATACTAGTTAGTGAGGAAGCACATGAGAAATACCATAAGCTCTATGGAAAGAAGAAAAGAGAGTTCCCACATAAACCAGCAGGAAGCCACAGAGCTAGCAGAGAAAGTCTGAAGTGGTGGTGGCACAGTGAGCTGAGTTAGCAGCTTTACAAATTGCCGTGAAAAACAAACACACTGTCGGTAAAAGGATTGGCTAACTAACCCCTCAGATGACTGTAGAAGTGTGCAGTTTTCCCTTTCCTGTGCAACTTGCTAGTGATTTTTCTTAGCTATGTTTTGATAATGTCTAGTTAAAAAGTGGTGCTTATCTAGGCAGGCCTTAAATAATATTGTAACGATTGCCAAAAAAAAAAAAAAAGTCCTAAAATGAGAAAAACTATAAAACAAAACCAGCAAGTGCTTTTGGAGGGCCTCTGACGGCTTCCCATGTGCAGGGCCCTGTCCTGCTCCTAAGCCAGCAGTGTTTCTCAGGCTGGAAAGCCACCTATCCCAACCTGGGCTCAGCCTCCAGGCCTCCTTCCAGGGACCTACACCAGCTCTATCGTCTGTTGGTCCTCTGACCCTCCTAGATATCCAGCCTGCTTCTCCAGTTGAGGATAACACCAAACACCTCTTACTGAGATGAAACGTGGCTCTGTCTTTGTCCCTCCTGAACTGAGCACGAGCCTGGCACAATTACTCCTGAACAGTGGATTGGCAGTTGAACTAGACCTGAGTTTGCAACTATGGGTTGGGGAGTAGAACAGCCTGGAGAAGCCTGTTTGATTTGTTTTCTACCCTCCCTAAGGTACTGCTGCCGTCCTATCGGAGCCCCTGCCTAGAAGATTCCTATGGTCCTCCTGAAGCTGAGATTCTGTGAATCAGGGTGATTCAGTTGCTCACCCTCCAGGCTGCCCACAGACCCCCACCAGTGATTCTTCCTCTGTGCCCTTTGGCTGCCTTTGTCCTCAGGCCCCACACTAGTCCTCAGGCTATGCACTGAAATGAATTAGTCCCGTTGGAGTCCAGAGCACCAGGCTGTGGCTCAACTTTCGCTCTTTTGCCAAATTTGGCCACACATACTGTAGGATCAAAGTTTCAGACGTTAGATCTGGGAGTCAGGGTAGACATACGCAGAAAGAAGGCTTGGTCCGAATTCCTTCAGTTCAATACAGCGCACCTTTATTGAGCACCTAGGAAGCCAGGAAAGGAAGGGAGAGCAGAGATGACAGATATGGCAGGGCATCTCCCTAGGGCACTTCTGTGTGTCTCCATGATGAAGGAGCTAGGCCCAGGACGTCCTGGCAGGAAGTTCACCTGGAACTGTGAGTCCACACAGTGTGGCTGCTCCCACGCTCGGCTCTTTCCGGGAGCCAGGAAGGAGCCAGTGCATGGAGCAGTGCTGGACTGTCTCTTTTATTTGGAAGACTTCATATTTTCTTCTTTAAATCCACTATCCACAGGCCCCAGTGGGAAAAGAATATGGTCTTTAACTTCCTCTGTTTTGGACAAACACTTCACATGACCAATGTACACTGTTGCATAGTTTTGCAAAGGGGCTTCCAGTTCATTCCAGAAATTCTCCATCAGCTGACAAATCCAAATTGGTCTGGCCCCAGGGAATTCAAAGCCCTTTCCCCTCAAATGGACATTTCTCCTCATTGTGCCCCTTTGATGGGAAGCGTAGAGAGTGAAGGAATAAGCCCAGAAAGGGCAGGAGGCACGCAGGCATCCGCGGGACAGCGGGGATGGGGACTGAATATTGCCTTCCTGAGCCACTGCCTGAGCCCTGGACTCTGCTGCACAAGGGCCGGCATCCTTCCAGTGCCATGGGGGCCACCTCCTTTATGGGATCAAAGCACCTTGTTTCCTGCAGCAAGTTACTTATAAGAATTCCTCTGGTCCCAAGAAGAAGTTAGAAGCCAGTAATTTGGAGAGAGGATGGGATGCTCATGGTCTTGTCTGGGGTCTGAGCTCTGCTGCCAGCGTGCTAGGCTGTGCAATGCTCAGAGGGTGGCATCAAAGTCTTGGAGGCCGGGATTGCCACAGGGAAGTGAAGGTCAGAAGCAGGGCACATTCCCTATCTGCTGGCAGCCCCTGCTTTTCCCAGCAAAGCCTTGAGCAGCAGCATGAGGTGAAGGCAGACAAGGATCTCATGGTTCACTTGGATGAAGAGGTCAGGGGCTTGTGGCCAGGCAGAAACTCTGGGCCTAGGCACTGGGAAAGCAGAGCACACACCCCACGGGCTTGATCACATACCACTCTCCTGAGCAAGAGAGGGGTGGCAGGAACAGGACTGGCCATGCCATCCAGCCACATCATGTGGCCAGTGCCCCAGCTTCAGGGCTGCATACTGCCCAGGCAAGCCTCAGACATAGACTGCACCAAGCAAGGTCGTGGCTCCTCAGGCCTGGCTCTGGGCCCCGTGAGTGCTCAGCTTGGAGCCAAGAGCCAAGGACATGGGACGCATGGCACTCAGGCAGACAGACATGTAGAAGCACAGGGGCTGAAATTCCTCAGTCGGGGCCTGGCCACCCGCATGCAGGTGCACTGGCTGTGGGGGGCTTCAGAAGAGGCCTCTGCTAGCTGGCTACTTGGCCTCCACCAGCTGCTCCAGGCGCTGCAGCATCGTCAGACGCAGGGCTTGGAACCTGGAGGGGGACACAGCCAAGAGGACTCACTGACACAGGAGGACACAAGGAGTGGGGGGACAGAGCAAGGGAGCGCACAGATAGCCTCAGTAGACCTGAGGCTGCTCAGCAGCCACCATCTCTCCTCCGCTGAGGCCAGGGAAGAAGAGCCAGGCCCATACTCTGCCAAACCAGCGGCTTAGAGGAGCAGGCACACGGCTGCAGACGCTGGCAAGCTGCAAATGCAGATACTGTTTCTATTCCAGAGATCCTCCACTATAGGACAGAGCGCGCTGGAGGGGACAGGGTGGCAGAGTGGGGATCAGGAAGCCCGCATTCAGGCCCAGTCTCGTCAGTGACCTGTGCTGCAACCTTCTGCACCTCAGGCCTCGGTTTCTTCTCTGTGCTCTGACTGCACTAGCCAGGTGACCCCCACATCCCCTTCTAGCTCCCAGACTTACAGCAGACTGCATGGTGGACTGTCCCCTCTGACCGGGTGTCTCTGCTGACCTCCTGAAAGGGGCCTCACTACACAGATGGAAGGCTGGGGTAGGGGGTTGGGGAAAGGCTGTGGCATTCCAAAACTCATTCAGCCAGACACCGGAATCCAAACCAGTCCCCCAACTGCAGGTCCTCTCACCATGAGCAGACTGCCTCCTTCCCTTCCTAAGGAGGACCCCAAACCTGGCCCCGGCTGAGTGGCCCACATGTTCTCCCACCCCCAGCCCATCTTTCACTCTACAGAGGAATAGACCAATCATTGGCAGGTGCGATTTGTCTAGCCTCACGCAGCCAGGCCTTGATGTAGCTTCCCCAGGAGCCCGCAGGTGACACCTGCTCACCTTTCCATTGAACAGGTCCCCTGCACCTGAAAACACCAGCTGGTACAGAAGGTTCCAGCAGTCACTGTTCTTTGGCAGGCTCAGAATTCCCACTACGGGAAAGGCCCAGACCTGGTGGAATGTGCCCTGAGTAGGCCCTCTCCTCAGTCAGTCCTCCAGGGCTGTGTCTCCTGTAGAGCTCATGACCCTGGTCTGGCACCCACCCCTGCTCCTGCCTGACTCTCCCGAGCTGTTTGGACAGCGTCACCCCTCCGGAGCTGGCGAGGTGCTGAAGCCAGAGAGGCGGTTTGGCCTGCCTCCTGCCCTTTCCGCAGGCTATCACCCCAGCTTGCCCTCACTACAGAGCAGGGGGTCAGCGGGCGGTGCCGGGCAGCCAGGGTGGACAGGCCTCCCCGATTTGGGCCAGCGCCATGCCCTGGAGGGGAGAGCTCGCCCAGCCCCAGCCTGGGGGCTCTGCCCTGCACACTTGACCCACGACTGACTCTTTATGTGCTGCTTACTTCATGGTCAGTTTGATTATTTCTCTTTCCTCCTCTTCTTTTAATTTTTCAACAAAACTGTCCAGCACCGGCATTTCAAATTTAATGTACTGAGCGACCTAGAAAATCCAAGAACATTTTAATGTGCTTTAAATTAGAAGCCAAAAAATGTGTTTTCTTTTCCTCAGGGTCTCCACAGCTGCTGATTTAGCCCTGTCTTCTAGCCCGGGAAGGGGCTACACGTCTCCCCACTCACTCCCAGCTCTCAGTCTGTACTAGGATGGAGAACAGAGAGGCCCATGCTCACTGCACAGCCTATTATCCCTGGGAGGAAAGATGAAGCTGGATATTAGGAAAAGTATTCAACAGAGAGTAGAACCACACTGGGGGTTCTCCAGGGCGGGGGAGCGGAGCACTGGGAACGCCCCATTTCTAACTGTGGAACAAAGCTGCGCTAGTCTGTGAGTGGTCCAAGGGATACAGGGTCACTGACCTTCACCTTGGCCCAAACCCTATAGGCCTTTTCTGTGCAAGGGAGCTCTGCAGCATTCCCTCTCCTAGGCCAGGACACAGGCTGCAATGGGCCTTAGGCACCTGTCTCCCTTCCACAGGCCCCAGGTACTTGTAGGCCCCGAATAAGGAGCCCCTGTGAGAGTCTTTAGTGTAATGACAACTAAACACACTCTAACAAAGGAAAAGTTTCTTCCTGCCTGAAGGGGAAAGTTCAGGCAATGGTTTTTGAGGACTCAACTTCCTTTTTCCCCTAAGCCAGCAGATGGAGTTGGTGGGCACTGACAGGAGGAGGGAGGGCTGGAGCCATCACTGTGCTCGGCTGGGGGCCCTTTGGGACAGCTGGGTGAGATGTCACTGCAGAGGGCTCCGGCCAAGTGCATCTTCAGAGCCCTTGGGAGTCCCCCATGCTGTCATGCAGCTCCTCCCTCAGGAACAGGTCTCCCTGAACCTCAGCCCCGACTCACATCGTGGGGAACTTCCTCGCCCAGGTCGGCTTCCATCAGGAATATCCTGGCGATCTTCTCACATGGCCCATGCAGGATTCTGGAAATCAGTGGATACTCACAGTCTTTTAATTTTGTTCGCTCTAAAAAAGAACGTCATTTATAAAATTCATGGGGCATTAGGATTGCCCCTCTTTGTTCTGGGGTGGGAATGTGGTAGAAAAATGGAGGTCCAAGGGGCTGGGAACTTTTTCCAGACCTTGAAGAGAAGGTTGCCCTGAATGTTGTGTGATTGTGGCATTCAGCAAAGACAGGTCAGAACAGGAGCCCAGGGAGTAGAAGAGAGGGGAGCGTGGACACAGGGAGGCCAGGCTGCTCAGTTACCATGGAGCAGAACCCTGAACAGAGGGACATGTGCATGCTGCAACCGTTCTCAGGGGGCAAGGGGTTTCAGTTCCAGCTCACAGTCCCTGATGTGTACCCCATCCCCTCCCAACTGAATGAGATCAAAGACAGTGGCTTCTCTTGTGTTTTTGGCAGGATTCTGTAAGGCGCAGAAAGTGTGCCTGGGTTTGGGGCTGGCAGAGCATTCACAGTGGCCGTGAGAGAAGAAGCATGGTCAGTGAGCTTGCCACATGGACAGAGACTTTGCTGTTTATGATCTGGAAGCACAGGCAGACACTTACCCCCAGACTCATGAACAATGTAGAGTGCAAACTCACTGGGACCATTTTCCACCTGTGTAGGCAAGAACAGGAAGTCAGACCAGGGCTTTATGAGACAAAACAGGAAGGGATCCCTGGCAGGAACCAGACCCCCAGCGCCACATGCAAAAGTCCCCAAGGATCCTCCCCTCTCTCTCTGCTTAAGATCCCAGAGATGCCGTGTCAGCAAAGGAAATGTTGCTAGACCTTCTACCCAGGAACCACAGGCAGCTTCCCCAGCGTTTGCTAGCCCCCCCAACAAGACAGCAAGCCACCAGCCTCCCAGAGCAAGGCCACTTGCTGACGGCCAGACTTACACGGAACTTGTTCAGCAGCAAGGTGAGCACATGCACGGTTGTCATGGTGCTGTTGACCCTCACGTTGGTCACCGACCCATAGGCAGGAGTAAACACTGAGGTCTGCAGAGCGAGGTGGGCCATTCAGGGCAGGGCCAGAGGGACACAGAGCTGACATCACACAGGGTCTAGGCACACTGTCAGCCAAATGGTCTGAGGCCACAGGTGAGCCTGGGCTCTGGAAGCACCTGTGCCTGTCCAGCACAGATCCACACACAGCTGTGCCCACATCTGGTGCACTTGGGGAAGCCGTAGCAACTCCCGTCTCACAGAGGCCTATAAGAGGGATGCCTCCAAAGCCATGAGGGCCAGCTCTTTGACCCTAGCAGCCAGTACCATGGAAGTACTTCCCAGTCTCCTTCTCACTCTTTCTTTGGTTCATATTTCCAAGTGTCTGTTGATTCTAAGACCAAAAGTTCTGGAATCTATCCACTCCTACCCATTCTCCCAGCAGTAGTTCTCAGTTCACACTGCATTAGCGTCCCACCTCTCCCCTTTCAATCTCAGCACTTTCCACCCATTCTCCATGCTGCTACCCCACGGAAAAACCTTTTAAAAACCTTGCAACTCCAAGTATATTCTGGACCAGCTGCATTAGCAGAGTCTTGGCTCCCAGCCCCAGACTCCTGAACCAGAATCTGCATTTTGAGGAAACCCGGTGATACTCTCCGTACAGTGCGATTTGAGAAGCACTGTCTTGTGGCATAGTTCTAGTTAGAAGTATCTGAAGGCGTCCCATAGCCTAAACAATACCCTTGCTTCTTCCTCTCACTGTTCACACACGTGATACGATGATTCTCTCCCTCGTGCCTTGTGGTCCAGCCGCACAAGCTCTTCATGGTTTGGGGGACCATTATAGTCCTGCAGGTACCTTGCCTTTCCGTGTGAGATGCCATATATACAGCCAACCAGGGCACCGTCTGAGGCTTAATAAGTCCTCAGGGAGCATGAGCCAAGTTATAGTCCTGCCAAGCATTTCACCTAAAACCTTTGATTTAATCCTTATAACAGCTTTTTGAAGTACCTGTCATTACTCCTTTTAAGAAAGGATACAGAGTCTTGGAGAGGTCAAGTCGCTTAGTCATGGTCATCCATCTAGAAAGGGCAGAGCCGTTGGAAACCCCATGATTTACCCCTGTGGCACTGGGGCCTCCCTGTGAATCTCACTTCCCCGAGGTGAGCTCTTCCTCAGTTTCCAAAACCAAATTCAAATTTATATATTCCTCCTCTATGGTGCTAGCTCTGCTTTCCCTGGGATGTAACTAGGGCTCAGGGATAAGAATGACTTGTTCAGTGTCCGCAAGTACCAGAGTCAGACTCAAACCCAGACCTGCTTCCTCCATACCTGACATGCAGGGTGACTCTGTGTTACATAGAAAGCCAGACTAGGCTTTCAGTCCCCAAGAAATACGGAATAGAGGAGTCAGCCTATTTCAAGAAGAAAGGTCTTGTCAATAAGACATTATTAGTGTTTCTTCTGCCTGGAGCCTTTTCTCAAGATGATACTGACCAGCTCCAAGTAGAAACAAAGGCCCCAGCTACTTTGCCATCTCTAACCACAATGGTTTCTCTCTGATAGAACACATTTGAATCTAACAGCCCAGGACAAAGCAATGGGACAGGTACCAAGTTTTACTGAGTTTGGAAATCATGCCAACACTACTGTGAATCAGAATACTTTTGGAAAATGATTAACTGAGGTAACAGTGTGCAATTCTAAGAAATAAAATCCAGAATAACAACCTCAGGAAGTTAATTCTAGGTAATTATTTTTTACTTGTTGCCTGTGATTCAAGTACACACTGTTACCTGATTTCCCAGGACACTGATTCCGAATAGATTGCAAGGAAGAGAGAGAAGGAGCCCCTTACCCAGCCCAGAGATGGGAACCAGCTGTCCAACACACCTAAGATACTAGTTTGCCTGGAAAAATGAACCCACCTTCTGTAAGTAAATCTAAAGAGCCACCCAGACTGGAGTACAGGCTAGCGTATTGAGTGTCGAGCTGGCTGAGGAGCCCTTCTTGCTATCATGGCTCCTACGGACATGAAAGAATGTGACAAAAGCCCTCATTGTTCATTTCTGTTCATTTCAAAGGCTACAGAGTCCTCAGACATTGCCATGTCTCTGGGACTTTTGCAATGACTACAAAAGGTTGAATGATCTTAGAGAGGAATGATTCCCTTAGAGGAGGGGGTGAATGTACTGGAGATAAACCCCAGTATTTGTTACCTAGAGTTGTGGATCAAAAGCTTTATTTTTTAGGATCCTAGAACTATGAAGAGGCTAACCTCATGCAAATATTCTTTTAAAAAAAAATTTTTTTAAGATTTTATTTATTCGTCAGAGAGAGAGGGAGAGAGAGCGAGCACAGGCAGACAGAATGGCAGGCAGAGGCAGAGGGAGAAGCAGGCTCCCCGCCCAGCAAGGAGCCAAATGTGGGACTCGATCCCAGGACGCTGGGATCATGACCTGAGCCGAAGGCAGCCGCTTAACCAATTGAGCCACCCAGGCGTCCCTTCTTTTAAAATTTTTTAATAATTCCTCAAAACTGCCTATACCGAGCTAGTATACTTACTGAACACTTTACAGACTAAACCCGTTTGGAACAAGATTTAAGGAATATCTAGGTCAGATTGTGGGTCCTTTGGCTAATCTAAATCATTCTTAATCTCTGCTTCATTTCAACCCTGCACCCTTTCGGGAACCTACTCTCAAATAGTCCTGGGTTTCCCTGCACTTAGCAAAGATAATGTAGTGAGTGTCACCCATGAACACACATTGCAAACCCAGACCAGAGTGGGGGTAGGGGTGGTCCTCTTAGTAAGGCAGAGTCCCTTCTGCTTGCCTTGTTGGATCCTTCACCCCAAAGTCCAGGGTGCCCCCAGAGCACTTGAATGGCTCCTGGCAGATCTAACCTGGGTAACTGTTCTTCAGGTCTGACCCTGGGAGCTGCCTTTGCCAGCACCCTCCCTCTCCTGTGAGTCATCGCCTATCAAGACAGGCTGCAGGATGTGGCCCAGTTACAGGACGCTCCCTCCAGGGCCTCACCCAGACTGCCACTCATGCCATTTATAGAAACAATCAACTTCTCCTTTTACAGTTGGGTTTGTTTAGGGACTGATGTCATCTGGGGAAGGAGATCTTTTCCTCAGGTCAGTACAATACATGCTTGGACAAAAGGCTAAGTGCTGGGAACCAGGAGCAGTGTGGGTTCTCTGGGGCCCAGAAACACGTGCCCCTGGGCACACCTCAATCTAGAGCTTACTTGACCCAGGGAGAAGGCCAGCAGCACATCACGTTCCCATGAAACTCTCAATCGAGCTTGGGTAGAAATCTCAGAGAAAACTGTCTAGTTAGACATAAACTTGGCATTACTTTCCAAAAATCCACACAACTTGGGAAAATGGATTGACAGTAAGTATGTGGTAAAAGCAAAAACAAAAACAAAAACAAAAGTAAAAACAAAATACAAAAGCCCCCAAAACAGGCTTTGGGGTGACCAGCTGGAATGTGTTCGTCCGTTCTTTCTTCCTTCCTTCCTTCTCTCTCTCTCTTTCTTTTGACTGTTATTTTGATGTCATTTTGGGCAAGCTATTTCTCCTTCTGAGCCCATTTATTGGTGAGGATGCAGCTGTGACCACACCAGCACACAGGGCCACGGCAAGGGGGGAACCTCTGACAAGGCTCTGGTGGGGCCTGGCCTTCCAAAGGCCCGGCAGTGCCTGGGGCCGCCTCCCTGTGGCCTCAGCTTCATGGCCCAGGGGAGAGGCTGGGCAGGAACATCACCTTGTGGTTGTAAAAGTGCCCATTGATGGAGAAGCGATGTCGCCGGACCCTCTGGGCCTCGCCAGGCGCACGGGCCCGGGGCCTCCTCTGGATCACGCAGGCTGCGTCACTCTTGGTCCGCATCAGCTGGGGGGTCTCCTCGTCCTCCTCCAGGGGCTCTGTAGTGAGGAACCGGTGAGAAGGTCAGTCCGGGGTGGAGCACAGGGGCTCAAGAACTGCAGAGCTGTAGCAGGTGGGGCTTGGTTCCCTGGAGCTCTGTGGTGACGCCATGCTGCAGCGGAGGGTAACGTCACTGCTGTTTCCGTGACAGTGCTTGGGGGATGCCCACCTTGTAGACAGGAAAGCAGACCCCCAGATAGGATCACCTGTGTCACCATGGCCTGGGCCTCCATCTCTGGGCGCCCAGGGCAGGTCTTGGGCAGCACCACACCGTCCTCTGAGCCCCCACTGAGTGAGGGGAGGACACAAAGAGGACCGATGAGCAGCCTGGATTCCAGAGGGTGAGGGAGACGTGTCCCAGAGGCCCTGCCTGCTGCTGCTATTCTCTCCTCTCTAAAAAGCAGGGGACTCGGGCAACTTACGTCACAGTCACCTCTGCCAGCCTCTGTTTCCTTTTCTGTACGTGAGGAGGTGAGGAGAAGGCCTTGGACTGAGGTAGTTATTTAGCAAGTGAGGAAGTATTAGCAAGGATTTGGCAAGATAAAGGCTTTCTGTGCTCCTTCTGGCAGCTGGTCTTCCTTTTTTCTTTTTCCTTTTTTTTTTTTTTTTTTTTTTAAGGGTCGGGGGAGAGAAGGGAGAGGGAGAGACAAAGAATCCCTAGCCGGCTCCACGCCCAGAGAGGAGCCCAACTCGGGGCTCAGGCTCACAGCCCTGAGATCACGACCCAAGCCAACATCAAGCATTGGACACTTTAACCCGCTGAGCCGGCCAGGCACCCCAACACAAAGCTTCCTTCAGAGATGATGGTCATGAGCCAAGACCCTCCTCTTCTACCCTAGTGAGCAAGAGCGGCTCCCAGGTAGCCCCAGGCCCCGCTTACCTGAGCTATCTTTGGAACTCTCAGCCCCGTGTGCAGTCTGAGCACTCGGCTCCTGGGCAGGGACCCTGCCATCCTGAAGAAGTGGCTCCTTTCTGAAAAAACAGTCAAGGTGCTCAGAGAGCTGCTGAGAGAGAAAAGCAGCTCAAGTCACAGAGAAGAGGTCTCCTGCCTCTGTGGACGGGACACAGGTAGAAGCAGGGCCAGCTGAGGTAAGGCTCTACTTCACACCAAGTTAATGTAAAATAGTAAAAGAAAAGCAAAGACTTGCCACGGTGTCTGCTGGAAGGAGAGGGAGTGTGTCCTGCAGACCTGAGTGGCCTTGTCCCCGCTGCACAGACACAGGGACTAGCTGTGTGCCCATGGACTCCTGGGCACCCAGCTGAGGGAGATGGTGTCTGCGGCCAAGTGTTGAGTGCGCTCTCCGGGCTTCCCTCAGGCCTGAAGGAGAGTCAGGCAGGGGAAGTTTGAGGGGCCAACCTCTGGGCCTCTGGGCCGGGCAGAGTCCAAGCCAGGGAAGCTGGTGCCTGGCTGGAGAAGAGGATGTGTGTGATGAGAAGTAGCCTCACAGCTACTTCCTCACAGCATGAGGGAGCTGGGGAGGGGCAGGCAAAGAGCAGAAACCAGGCTGAGAGGCCTCTGAGGGTCCTCCTGTCTGTTCCCATGGCTGCTTTTACCCTGGGGGGTGGGACTCACAAGTCATACTTGTTGCCTTTCTACAAAGCCCATCCAGACTTTATACTCTAAGTCTGTATGGGGTGTCAAGGTGCTAAGTGCCCTCAGAACAGCAACTTCGCTTGAATTTCTGAAAGGGAAATGGTTTTGAATTTTTGCCTCTTGGAAGGATTCATTACATGCAGAGGCGAGCAAAACTCAGCAACTAACTGCCCTTTAAGGGGGAGGGGGCGGAGAGAGGGGGCAGGTGTTCATTAAGTGGTAAGGTAGGAAACAGTTTCATCATGATTGAAACATATTGCTGATGTTAAAATAAACCTGTATTAAGCTCTAATAAATTTATAAAAACAAATTCTGATACTAAAATGAAAGTAGAGCCATAAGAGCTTAAATTTGTGTGAATTTTTAAGGTAGAACGGGAGATGCTAAGAAGTGTTTGTTTTGCTTAGGATGTTGGAAGCCCCTGCCCACGCATAGCTCCTCTCCTTGCAGATAAGGCAGCTTCTGTGAATGTATGAGGAAACACAGCTGGAGGCGATGGGAGTCTGGAAAATTCTCCAAGAGCGAAATGGTTAGGTCATCATCTAGAAAGACCACTATTGGCAGGTGAGGCTGTAGGCTCAGGCAATCACACAGTGACAAGGATAAGGCTGGCTTGTGCTCTCCTGTGCCCCACTCGGGAGCAGGGCTTTGCCCTGAGACAGAGGACACCACCCCACAGACAGCCCAAACGGTACGCTTGGGTTGAACCGGTGTCAAGGAGGACACCCGGCCCTGCCTCCACCATCTGAACACTCACAGGGGGCAGCTGGGCTGTCCAGGTGTCCAAGAGGCTGAGGAAAGGTGCACGCGCTCCCTGTCGTCCTGTATCTGGAGCCGGATAGGCCGCCTCAGGCCCCAGGCAATGTTGAGAAGCCCCTCGATGATCAGAGCACCTTCTTCCTATGGGAAGTCCACACAGGTTAGTCTCTTTCCCCAGAGCAGCCCTCCGCAGGGGTCACTGCTCACCCTCCCTGAGCCCCCTGAAGGCCCGAGCCCTCCCCCATGGGCTCCCCTGAACCTTCTTGCCACAAACACAGCTCTCCTCCTTGGGATCCCATCCTCCCCTGGGGGAAGGCACACAGGCTTCTATGTGCTCCAGGGCGTGAGGCTATGGGCTGACCAGAGGAAGCCTGAGGCGTGCCCTTCCACCGCTCTGTTCACGCCTGGTCAGGGGCATGGCCTGGGACGGAGCAGCTGAGTCAGGCGTCCCACAGGAACCCAGCTGCTATCCAGCAAGCACGTCCACACGGGTGAGGAAACACGTTCCAGAGAAGCATGGCCACGTTGACCCTGGTGCCATGTAGGGGTGCCTTCCCATCCCCCTCCCCCAGTGCACCTGGGAAAGGGGCCCGATGGTCACCAGGTCCTACCGAGAATGTGCTGCAGGCCCTGGATTCCATGCCCACCAGAGCAGGGGTGGCTGCTCCTCGGAGCTGTGTCTCAGGCTCGTGCTTCTGCCCATGCTGCTCCCAACTGCCCCAGGGACCACTCGAGTGGGCTGGGCCCACCCCGATTTCTGAGCTGCCTTCTTTCCTGATGGCCAGTCTTGCTTTTCTCACCACCTGCCCATTGCCAGCCTCCACGTTCCACTACTGGCATGAACACTCAGAATAGCTACAACAGCTCCCATTCTCTGTCCCCAGCTAGCCTTGATTTCCCAAGGTCTGCAGATGGCACAGCTACTGCCCTCCTGCTGAGCCCTGAGGTCCTAATTGACAGAACCCTCCAGAGGCATCCTCAGCCAGTTTCCCCTCCCAACCCTCAGGTCTTTGATTCTGTTTCTGACCTCTATCATGCTCCTATCCATGAGTGACCACCTCTAGGCTCTCTGCGCCCAGCTGAACTCCCCCACGTGTGTGCCTGGCCAGGCTGCCTTCAGGGCATCTTCCTAATATCTTCTCAGCCCCTCTCCCCCCCGGGAGCTGTGATCCCCCCAGCTACCTGCTCCTGAGCTGCTTTGATACTAGCCATTTCACAATGAACGTTAAACATTGTTACCTTTTTTTTTTTTTTTTGAGTGCTGGTTGTTATACTCCCACTACTATCTTAAACACCACTTTAAAGTCACAAATTCTTTTTTTCACAGTATAGGCATTGAAAGCCTTGTGAGAATAAGAAACCTGTGGAAATGCCTTCTTTTCCCCAGAAGGGCTTACAGAGGTGTCCTGCAGGGTCAATTTCATGGTAAGTTAGTAACCGCTTAAAGCACCCTGTTATCCACAGAGAAAATAGTTCCACTCTGTTCAAGGTTATCAAAAATACACATTGCTTTTTGGAATGACCTTGCACTGTTTGCTAAAATAGAAAATAACAATAAAAGCAGAGGACTTTTTGATAACCATTGATGTTAACACAGTCGCAGACAGGTAACTAACGCTCCCTAAGAAGAAAAGACTGGGTTGATTTGCTGGAGTTAAAGGGGGCAGTAAGCAACCCCAAAGTGGGTTTCCATTCTTTGTTTTCTGTCTTGGCCTCAGATGCCTCTGTCAGAGATCAACACACCCCCTCCCCCAACACAGCTCAGCAAGTTCATTCACAGAGCCCCACTGCCTGCTGGTCCCATGTCGGACCCCATGTGTGAAGGAGATCCAGTAGTCTTGGTCCTGGGTCTGAGAGTCAGGAGATCATTTAGAGCTCCAAGGGGCAGGAGAAGACAGCACTGCTGGGCCAGCGGCAGTGGGGCTGGAAACGCTGGGCTGGGCCTTCAAACATGCCATGGGATGGCTCTGGAGACTTTGCAACGAAGGAGGCAGGAGGAGTTGCTCTGGAGCTGGGAGCCAGGAGCGGAAGCAGAGCTGCTGTCTTCAAGGTCAGGGATTAGCTATGTTGGGGTCTGCTGGCCTAATGTGACTTGGGCCCCGTGTCCCTGCACAGACAGAGTGTGTGTCCCCAAGCTGCCCCCCGACCACTGTTCCACTGTCCTTCTGCCTGGCCCCATCGGAATGGAGGGGAGGCCCCGTCAGACTGCAGCTGTCTCTGTTCAAATCAGGGAAAACTGGGGGCAGAGCAGAAGGAGCTCCAGGCTCCTGGGCAGCCCTTGCCAAACAGGCAGAAGCAGGACTTGAATGTCCTACAGCCTCCCATTTTCGTAAGTCGGGAAGTCATTCTGGGCCCTCATATTCTGGGTCCCCCCCTCACTGTAGCCCCCTACCTCTCCCAGGGCCTGAGGTGGCTGGAGCGGTGCCACCCCTCCCCTGCCCTGCGGAGAGTAAACATCCACGGAGCCTCCCACCACTCCAGGCTGGTAGCTGGGCCAAACCCCGCCCGCCAAGCTGTTTTCCCTCTGAGAGCCTTCCTGTGTGCTGCTATTTTTGGCCCTCGTGACAGTAGCTGGTGGCTGGTAAGGAAGTATAAAAGCAGCCGCCAGGCCTCTGGGTTCACCAGATAGCTCGGGGACGCTTGCACGCCGGACAGTGGCCTGTCGTCCCCACCACCCATCTCCTGGCCATTCCACGCCGGACACAGGGCTCTGACGGCCGGGCCCCCAGCCCTCCACTTGAGCTTCCTGGGTCTTCCCAAGGACTGTCCTTGCTTATCCAGCAGCCCTGTGAGCCCCAAGTTCCCTCGACTCCAGGTAAGAGAGCAGCTTCCCTCTGGTTAGAGACACAACAAGAAGGTTTTGTTTCTCTTTGAGGGCGGGGCGAACAGGGCCTGAAGGTGGGACAGAGACCAGGGCGTGCAGTCGAGGCAGTGATAATAGCCACAGAGGGCTTTGCATCGGCAGAGGGATTTCCCGGGAACTGTCATCCCATGCGTTTCTTACAACACCCTTTCCAGCGGGGATTTGTAACCCTGTTTTATGGATGGGTCAGGGGACGCTTGGAGAGGTGACTTTGGAGAGGTCCCCACCCAGGTGAGGAAGCGGCAGAGGCCGGTTTTACCCAGGTTTCCTCTGACTTCAGTCCGTTAGACTGTGTTCTGATTTGTATGGGTTCAACAACAGTAAAGATGGATTCCTGAGCACGTGGCTTTCAGTGTTAATGGGAAGGAAGAGTTCAGGAGTCCGAGCCCGGGTTTGGGTTTGTAGACATCACTCCACTCTCAGCCTGTGAATCACCCAGGCAGCCTCTGCTGAGAGAGGGGACCAGCAGGGGTGACAGATGGCAGACCCCTCACCCCCGGTCCTCTGTCGATCAACAGGTCGCTGTTCTGCATCGCCGACGGCCATGAGGTCCCGGCTCCTGCTTCCCGTGGCCCACCTGCCCACGATCCAGGAGACGCTGGAGGAGATGCTGCCTGGGGGGCCTGGGCAGGAGCCCCCGGCCTCCCCCAGTCTGGATGACTACGTGAAGTCTATCTGTCAGCTGGCTCAGCCCACTTCAGTGCTGGATGTGGCCACAGCCAGGGCCCAACCTGGTAGAACCCCCCGGCCAGCCCGCGCCTTCAAGAAGAGCCCTCCTCCTGAGTCCCTACAGGACATTACTACCCGCTTCAGTGGTCAGCAGCCGGCACTGCCCGGGGACGGCACTGCTGACCCCCTGGACTGGCTCTTTGGGGAGTCCCAGGAAAAAAAGTCAAGTAGGAGGGACCAGCCAAGGAGGACTGTCTCCTCTGCTGACTCCTGGGATCCACACAAACAGATGGACTGTGGCAAGGCACGAGGGACCCCCAGAGGGAGACCCTGGGATGCCAGGGTGCAGGGGCACTCTCTGGCAAGACCCTCAAGGGACTCGCACCAGGGCTCCTGGGCTTCCAGGCAACTCTGTATGGACACGGCCTCCCCCCCAGCCCCCCGCCCCAGCAGCACCCTCAGAACTCTCTATTTGCACCTCCCAGTGATCCATGAACTCTAACCCCTCCCCAATAAAGTCTTCTGTACAGAGCATGCTGGTCTTTGTCACCTCCCTGCCCCCTCCCCTGAGGTGGGCACCGTCTCTGGCAGGTCCCCGAGAGGGAAACACCTTTCTGCAGGGGCTGCCTGCCTGGGCATTTTATAGAGAAACCCCCTCCTCTGAAGAGTGAGAACAGCCTCATCTGGGCTCATGTGGTGTTACTGGTCCTGCTAGCACTGTTCCTTGCTGGCTGAGCACCTTGGGCAAGTTACTTAACATTTCTGTTCGTTGATTTTTCTCATGTGTAAAATGGGGGTAATTAAAGGGACCTGCTTTCTAAATTGCTCTGGTGAGTAGACGGGATAAGAGCCACATGCATTATGGGTACATAAAGCCTGCACACAGGCTCCTACACACGTCTGTGTGGTCGCTTCACAGGCAGGGACGGGAGGTCAGCGGCGGGTGAGAAGCAAAGCTCTCGGCCACACAGGGATTTCCGAGCGAGGACTGCACCCTCCCAGGTCAGCCTCCTGGCCCCCACCCTCAGAGCCTGTGCTCCATGCAGCCCAAGAGGAAACATAATGGTTTCCCCAAATGTACCTGCTGAGTTTGGGGGGAACCTGTCACGGGGTATCTCCGTGACTCCAGCTTACAAGTCCTGTTGTGTCATTGGGAGAGTTTTGCCCATGCTGAATTTTGCCCACATCTTGATGCTCAAGACAGCCAGTACCAGCACAGCTGGCAGGATGTCAAACCATGGGACCAGGCGGTCCTGTCCTCACCATCCCCATCCCTCCCTCCACCCGGGGGGCTTCTCAACCATCGGACAAAGTGCAGGCCATTGGCCAGCTGACTTGCCCTTAGGCAAGCCCAGTGGCCAAGGCCTCACTCCATAGGTCCCAAGGTCTGGGCCAGGCCTAGGTCTTCCAACCGCAGTGCCTGGAAGCATCTGGCAAGGAAGGCGATGAAGGTGAGGAATAAGGGAAAGGGGGAGGGTCTTCCTCAGAGAGGCAGGTGAGGATGCATCAGAGAACTCAAAAGGATCAGGCTGAGGACCCATTACCCTGTTCCCTTGGGCCAGGTCAGAGCTGGCTGACCCTGATCTGGGCAGAAGGGACAGAGGGGAGAGGAAGAGGATAGAACTCTGGCCTCAGCCCAGCTCGCAGACTGCTTCAGTTTCCTCCATCTCCTTGCTCTGAGGAGTATCAAACTATTTTCTTCTTCCTTTCCTTCTTTTATTTTAAAATTGCTTTGTACTTTTATGAGTGTTTTGTGGGAATGCAGAATGTAAACCAGACATTTAAAAGTTTCAGAATACAGTCTGCTTATCTGTAAAATGGGGACACCACCCCTGCCTTCATAGGCTGCAAGGGTTGCACAATGGGGTGTGTGCCCTCAGAGATAACATGGAAACCCCACAGAGGAATGCCTGAGTCCACCGCAAGCCGCTGTGTATCTAGCCTGCTCAGACCTGCCCGTCCCTGACGTTTGCTGGCAAATATGTGCAGGGCAGCCTTTAGCCAGAACACCCTTAGAAGGCATCAGGGAGGGCTGACCTGGGAGGAGATGCTGGCCTTGTGACCATGTGGGCTGGGGTCGCCTCATTGTAGCCCCTTCTGCGAAGCTGTGGGAAACCAGGTCAGAAGGAAGCAACTAAGATGAGGTTGGCCAGTTGCCCCCAAGATCAAAACCCACATGGTGCATTTGGGAGGTCAGACAGGGCTCTGGGCTCCTCTGCTCATATCCCCTGATGTGAAAGAAGCTAATGAAACCCTCAGGAAGGGCCAAAACAAAAATAATTGAATAAAGGGCCGGGGGAAGGGACTTTTGGCATTATTCCAAGCTTTGCACTGGACAGAACAGCCTAGCAGAAAGTCCCTGTGATGGGGGCCCTATAAAGCAGTCTCCTGCTCACTGGCTCCTGGAGTTGGGAAGAGACACAGTGCCCCAACCAGGGGGGCAGTCTAGGAAGCACTTGGGAGCTCTCAAGGGAGCACGTCCATTGACTGCGGAGTACTCACCTGGATGCCAGTGGTCTGTCAACAGCCCATCATCCCTGCCTTCAGGCGTTAAAAGAAGGGGGATCATTATAAGAGGGAAGGGGACCCTGACCTTCTCCACCCTGGGAGCGGCAGAGACCCTCAGTGAATAAAAGGACTCTCCTTCCTTTTCTCACTCAGCTCATGAGCCTGGGAGAGAGGATGAGGACTGGGTGTGATGTATGCTCTCGGCCACCAGGGGGAGCACGAGAGGCCGGCTCCCCTAGTCCATGCGTGGAGGTGCCCAACAGGAGGGTCCTATTTTTCATCGCAGTGATTTATTTACGCACTGGTATTTCTGGGTGGTCCATTTTTCTCTCGAGCAATCAAACAGCCTGGTTAAAATGCTTTGCTATCTTCAAAAGGCACACATTGCTCCAGGTTGCTCCTGCTCTCCTTTGTAATACAAGCAAAAGTATCCCAAAGGCAAAATTTTTGATAGAGGAGGCTAGTGCCTGGGCCTCCTAGGACAGAAGAAGCTAGTTCCGGGAATCCCTTGCCCTTTGGAAGCTGGGGGAGAATTCTCAGGGATACGCTGGCCGCAGGGCGTGGCCCCTGCTCCCTGACACACTTCTATGGATCCCTGACACACTTCTATCGATCCTGGAAGAGACTGTGGAAGAAGAGGTGTCCCCAAACTGGAACAGCCAGGCCACTGTCTCTCGGGGGGAGGCCTAGTGACAGCAGGGAGCAGGGTCTCCTCTGGAGCCCCATGTGGCTCTGTGAGGGCCCAGCTGGTGCAGAGCCCCTCCGCAGCTGGGAGGCACTTTTGCTTGGTGACTGAAGGTAACAAACCCCTTCCTGCGTCTCTGAGGCCTGCCAAAGCTTAATGCTGGCAGTGGGGTCGCTATCTTACAAATTTCGGTGCTCTGGCCTTGGAGCTCTGCTGGCATCTTACAGGGCAGGGTTACCTTGCGGGGGAGACTTCCAACTCTGAAAGCCTCAGTCTCTTTGGGAAATGGCCATTCCCAGGTCACATGGCTCTTGTATTACAATAAATAACAGAGGGACTAAGTGCCTGGTCCCTGTCTGCCCTCAGGGCCTGCAGTGCCTGAGGAGAGGCCGGCCCAGGTGCCTGAGCTGTGAGTCCCTGAGGCCCAGGAGGTCCGGGGTCTGCATCTGAGAAATCGCAGAGGCCTGAACACAGGGTGGCCGGTGGGTCAAGGAGGCACCTGGTGTCCAGCAATCAGTCACACGTTTCAGCATCAGAACTCTGGGCTGCCAGGCCTAGGGTGCCTTTGCGCTGGCAGTCACGCCCCACCCCCACCAAGATGCATACTCCCTCAGGCTGCTGCCCCTTGGCTGTTAAGGCTGCGGAAGCTTCCTGAAAGGTACTTTCTGGCTCTAGGGTGATTAAGTCAGATCCTCATACCTTCTTTAGGTTAGGAACAGGAAAATCCCCCATCTGTGGGGTGTTAACTTCTTACCACAGGGAGCTGTCGAGAACACCTCTTCCCCTTTTTGGGGTCTCTCACTTTTCCACATGGACTCTCCCATCACACACAAACACGGGCATAGCTTTGGGGCTTCCCACTCCTCCTCCCCCCATGACTGTTCCTACAGAAGGGATTGTCTCGGGGAATCCCAAGGGCCAGGGTCAAGCTCTTAGAGTAGCTGTTCTCAAACTTGGCCTTCATCCCAATCCCCTAGAGGGCTTGTTAAAACACAGATGAGAACAGGAAGAGTTTCTGATTCAGCAGGCCTGGGGGCAGGAGGGCTTTCCCAGGTGACCTTGAGGCTGCTGGTGCCCCAACCACAGGTGAAGAGAGCTGCCAAGTCTTAGATTAATCACCTGATGGCCCAGGGCTGAGGAACAGGGCCCAGCTGGAAGACCCCAGTGCATGCATGTCCCCAGCACCACTGCTGGGGTAGGTCCAGTTCTCACTTAGTGTAGATCAAAACTGCTCCTGGATCTCAGGACCTATCTCAGCTTGCCTGGGCCTGGGCCTGCATGTTCATCACCCAGCACCTATGCTGGGGTGGTGTGCTGTGCCTGGCCCAGGGACGCGAAACCAGCAGGGCACTTGGGTGAGAGAAGAAACAGCAAAACCAGAGATGGCAGGACAGTGGCATGGGAGCCTGGCCAGCAACAGTGAGGAGCCGGGCTGAGGGGTGGGCTGGGGAGACAGGTGTCGGAAAGCCACTCTGCCCAAAGAAGGGGGAGGCACGAGGGGGCAGGGAACAAGGCCCTGTGCAGGCTGAGCAGGCCTTGGGGAGGTGGAGGGTGAGGCATGTGCTGTTCCAGATCATCCCAGCAGCCCGGTGCTGCCTGGACCACAAGCCAGCAGCTTCCCTCCCACCCAGGCTCCTGAGCCTTGTGCGTGACAATAGCCTGGCCCAGGCTGCACTGTGCCCACTGAGTGCTTTGTTTAACCCGCATGGTGTCTCGAGGTTTAGGAAATTCCACATGAAATTCCGGATATCTCACTTCTTTGGAAAAATTAGAAAGAGCTTAGCTGTCTGGAGCCCATGTCCCTGAATAGCAGCGTCTGCATCTGGGATGTGCTCTCCCGTACCCTCCACTCCCCCAGCCTGCACTGCCTCTCCCATTCCCACCTGCCTGACCCCGTGAGCAGCATCCTCTGGGGAGCTCTCCTCCATTTCAGGCCTTTCCTCTGATGGTTATTCTGATTGGCAAACACAGAGAATGCTTCACTTCTCCATTGCCCTGTGACCTTGGGCAAACCAGAGCCCCGTGTTGAGTTCCTTATTTGTGCCCATGGGATAGGCCGAGAAGGGACTGGGCTGTGCAATCTCAAAGATTTCAAACTCCAATGTCCCAGCGGTTCACCCAAGCAAAAGTCCTGGGTGGAAGAGGAAGACCCGCAGGCAATTATTCCCACCTGCTCTGAACACTTGCCAGGTGTCAGGGGGGCGGGGTGCTCTGACCCTCAGCACCCCTTACAGGACTTCCAAGGAGATGCCCTGGCTGCTGGTAACCTGGTCTCTAACCAGGACTGTCTTCAGCAAACCAGGACAGATGCTCTAGAATGTTAGCATCTGCTTCTAGATGCTGGCCTAAGAATAAAGAAGAGAAACAGGCCTTACCTCTCGGTGTCTCAGCTGAAAGCTTCTGCCCTCATGGTAGCAGTTGTAAGTTTTTAGCAAGCTTAAGAGCTCCGACCTGAAAAGGTAAAGACACACTTAATAACCTTGGGGTGTGGCAGGGCTTTGGACAGTAATGACAGATGTCTTGCCAGCCACACACAATTAGTTTAGAGAATAGACTCCACCATCAGACACATGCCTTTCAGTCTTCCAGAGCTTTCACATGTCAACCCCTGTGGAAGTTGTAGGGGTGGGAGGAGGGCGAAGAGAAACTCACAGATGGCCCACATAATTGTGCAAATTGTGTGTACACACTTTCGCCATCACAGATCAGAGTTCCCGACAATCTCCCTATACTTTGAGTCACTTCCTCATAAATTCCCTTAGATTGGGTTATTAGCATTTTAAAGCCTCTTGCTCTTTCTCCCCATATTACTTCCTGTAAGGGCCTTGTGCAGCCACTGTGCAGGCACCATAAGGGGTGTCTGCCTCTTCCTCATCCTGCCTTTCTGGAGGTACGATCAAGAGATGAGGCTCACAGCTGTGAGGAAAGATGCTGAAGGTCTGAGGGAGGCCACTCCGCCCAAAACGCCTTCTCCCCAGAATAAAGGGAGGCCGTGGCAGAGACAAGACCATCCCTACACCCCAGCGGTGCTCTGCAGGGGCGTGCGGTCCTATACATAAGAAATGTGAGCCACACATGCAATTTTAAATCTTCTAGTCGTCACATTGCAAAGGCAAACAAAACGGGAGATTAGTTTTCATAATGCGTCTTCTTCAATGGCACAAGATATCTAAAATATTATCATGCCCATGTAGAATCAATATAAAAATTATTACTGAGATCTGGCTCATTATTTTATTATGTAATGAGTGTTTGCTAGCTTTCTTTTATATTCACTATTCCTCTTCCACTGTAAGTCAAGTGCTTACGAGCCGTGGCCACCGCGGCTCGTGGCTCCCGTACCGGGGAAGTCCTGCTCTAGAAGGTCTTCAGGCAGTGCCTTGGCTGACATGGGGGTCGCTAGGGTGTGGATGAGCAGCACCTGCCCTTGGTGCTCTGGGGTGCTGCCCAATATGGGGGTGATGGCAACTGACAAGGGAAGTGAGGCACTTGTGACTCAATGAATGAGACACCCTTAACACAGCAACATTAATGTTGCACGTTCACTGTGCCTGTATCTGTGTAAATGCCGGACATAAACTTGTTAGGACACATATACATGAAATTAATCATGTTGTGGTTATGATTATGACTTTTCCCAAAGTTATATTTAATATTATTCTCACTATAAAATTTAAACAAGGAAAATGATGGTGTGGGCAGCACAGTGCAGGGCAGGCCGTCTGTTTTCTCCAGTCTCTAAGAAGAGGACCCAGGAAGGAGGTCAGTGAAAGCTAGGAGCCTGGCTTGTCTTCAACGTGGCAAACAGGAGCTGCCCAAATTTAGAAAAGATTTGGACTCAGTATTCAAAAAGCAAGATAACATAAAAATATATACTTTTCTTTAGCTCAGAAATAAATTTGAAAAACTATCCTAAATCTTTTTTTTTTGTTGTTAAGACAGATGGTAAATAGAATTAAAAATAAGTAGAGCTAAAAATCAATAACAGTACACTTTTTTCAGTAAAAACTCCAAACCTATTTTGAGGTTTTTTTTTTTTCCTTTCCCCCCCTGCACTGTTTAACACAGTAAGACGTTAGCATTGCTCTAGCTTTTGAATCAATTAAATGCCATCTGTGCAGAATCATGGCAGACATTGTCACGCTTTCCTGCCTTTGTAGGCCTGATCGGGCAGGGGTCAAACCCACACCCCAAAGAGATCCTTGATCTCCAAGGAGACGGTCTTTGAAAAGAAGTGCCCCCATCACTGTCCCTGGGGAAGGCACATCGTCATATCTGTGAAATTGCCCAGAATCCCTCCACCCAAAGTCTGTCTGTGGCAGGAAGTGGCCACAAGAAGATCCCCTCCCTGTATGCAAAGGCTTACTTCAGGATGGACTTGCTGTCACTGATGGGGACGTGAGAACTGGGTGGGCAGTCTTCCTTCATCTTCCCCTCTTGTCTGCAGTCTCGGGAGTTACCTGCTGGGAAGAGGAAGGACAGGTGAGAGTGGAGAAGCGCCGGCCAGTGCAGTGTCCAGAACCCTGGTGTGCCGGCCTGTGGCTTCAGCCTCACTTCCCAACCAACCTGCCTGCACCCTTCCTCCCTCCACTCCTTGGCACAGTGAAGCCACAGCTGAAGGATCAGGCTCAGAGGACTTAATGGGGCCCCACACCTACCTGGGGCAGCCAAACTCCCCTGGCGGGTAGGGGGCAAGGTCAGAGCTGCTGAGCTAGCTGGCACCTAGTACCAGCCCCCCCTCCCAGAATCTCTCCACAGTCCCTAGGGATGTGGATCAGTCTCGTCATTGTTTCAGACCACAAGCTCTCCTCCCTCAGCTGGGACACCCTGAAGGGTGGTTTCTGCCTCCATTGCTCCTCCAAATCCCCAAAGCACCCTGGGCCTTTCTTCTCCATTCCCACCAAGCCCAGGCTGGCGGCGCCTCCCTGCCTTTAGAGTCAGCACACCTGGGCCGGCTCTCCTAGTGACGGGTTTAGTCGGTACTGTGGTCACCACATCCAGGAGGCTGTGTTGAGCCTTTTCTATGAATTATCTTATTTACTCCTTCCAACAACAGTACAAGGTAAGTACTATCCTATTCCCATTCTAAGGATGAGAAGACAGAGACAGAAGTTGAGTACTCTGCTCGAGATTCCTAGCGAATCAGTGGCAAAGTCACTATTTGAACACAAGCATTTAGATCCTAGATTTTGGTCTCTTAAGCCCTTCTCTGTGTTAATCTCACACAGTGACTTAAACCCTCCAGCCTTCTTTTCCTCATCTATGCAATGGGGTGATCTCTGCCTATAGGATTGCTAGTTGATTCACATATGAAACCATGTCTTCACAGCCTAGGAAGCTTTGTGGAGCATCTCAAACCCTCCCGGCAAAATCCACTAGTACTTTCTCTAGCTTGTTGCCATCTTCTGCAGATTTCAACTTTTCTCCCTCTCCAACTTATTCTGGCCAATAACTCTCTTCTCAAGGCCTGCTGTGTGTTGGGCAGTGAGCCACAGCTTCTCTCTCTCTCTCTGTCTTCCCCCAACCTTGGCCCTGTCTCTCACTTTCTCTTCTCTCAAGTTTCTACTAGGACTCTGTGGGGTTAAGTCACATGGGGAAATGGCCCAGAGACGCTACACAGCTTTTCCTTCGAATCACAGAGTGGCTCCTTCACAAAACCCCAACGTCTGTTCACACAAACCTCAGTCAGGTCATTCCTACCTCTGTGTGTGTGCAAATGTTCCTGGGGGTTCAAGGTCAGTTTCGACTGCTGTTGTATTCATGTCCTCAGAGAGCTCCTTCCCCTTGGTCCCTGACTCTGACCAGCCGAACACCTTTGATACCACCCACAAACAAGACAAGCCTGCCTTCAATGATGGCATCAGGCCTGAATGACCATTTGATTCAGGAAACAAGGAAACACGGGGAAGGGGGATGAACTGAGGGAGGTGGGCTTCTCAGTGACCTCAGAATCATCCTATAAATACTTTCGCTCTGCCGGGGTGTAGAGCGAGGCAAACCATGGCCTAGAAAGAGGTTAGGCTTCTGGCTATAGCTTCGGGCAAGGCCCTCCCTCCATCGTGCACAGGGTTAGGCACCTCGGGGGCCTGGCTTGGGGCCTCACTGTCAGGCAACAGGATTTCAAAATCTGGTTTCAGTTCCTCAGCTCCTGAGTCTGCAGTGGAAAAAGTGATCTGCCAGGCTCCCTCTCTGGGTAGTTCCTCAAACACTTCCATGCAGAGCTGGGTTCAGCCCAAGAAAAGTATCTGGGCTTCTCACTCAATGCTGCTTCTGCGGGCCCATGGCATGACTGTCTCGCTCCTCATGGGAAGGGCCCAGAAGTAACAGCGGTGGTATTTTCTCTTGCCTCATCTGCAGCTAGCTTCTCTCCCATCCCTCCTCACTTCTTGCTTGGAGCTCTAGCCTCTCTGAGCTGCTCTCGTTTTCCTCATGGGCTTTCCGCTTTGTCCTCCTTCTGGGTCTTCATGGTGCTGTTCTCTGTCCAGAAAACAGCCTCTTCCCTGTCCTATACTCTGCCGTGAGCTCCTCCAGGAAACCCTTGCCCGAGCAGCCACCTCCTCCAGTATCAGGAGAGGCTCCTTTCCAGTCCAATGTCTGCTCTGGGCTCCTGGCTGTGCTGGGCCTTCCGGGCCTGACCTGTGTGTGAGGGAGCTGAGAGGAGGCTGGGGGAGCGGGGTGGGGGGAGGTTAAAGCTGTAGGCCTCCACACCAGGGACAGTACTTTTCTGGCACACCTCCTGTTTCTAGCTCCAAACCAGAGCCTGACACACAGCAGGAGGTCCATGGATGGCTGTTAAATTATTGGATGAAATTGAGAAGCCTCACGGGGTCCTCCAAAGTCAACTTTCCCAGAGTTAGGCATATCCAGCTGGAATAAAACATGCAAATGTCTCCAGGGGTCAGGGCAGTGATTCAGCTGAGACACTGGTCAGTGGGGTCCCTGGAGAATTGAGAGACACATTCTTTGTCTGGAGGGTCAGCTCTTCTGGTGTGTCATGATAAGGCAGAGATCTGGATTTGCACGTGCTATATTTCACTGCTTAAAGGTGGACACTGTGGCCAAGACACTGAACTCCCCTGGAATGACCCATGCTAGCTCACACTCCTCTGCCACCTGTGGAGCCTGTGACTAACACCTCACATGTCACACCTAAGAAGGGTTGTGTGTCGCCCTCAGGCTAAGGCATTTGAGCCATGTGTGATCCTGTTCTCTGTCATGGTGACCCAGAAAGTCACATGTCCCAGTTAGTGCAGCTTCCAGATGGTCAGCCTGGGTCCCAGAGTACCTCTGTGGCCCAGAGTCCTCTGCTGACCCACTGTGGCTGTGGACTGGGAAGGAGAAATAATGTTCTGCTGGGAAAAGCTGCTGGAGTCTCAACGATTTGTTAGTGTGGCATAACCCAGACTATCCTGACTGATGCAGGGAATTATTCCATTAAAAGATACATAGTTAAAAATAAAATGTAGCCAGACAAAACACACTTGCAAGACAGATAGATGCCCTCAGTGGGGCTCCAGTGTGTGACTTCAGATTCACCACAAGATCTAGTTTACAATACTTTGTTCTCCATCAGCATGTGGGGAATATGCCAATTTTGCTCTATTTAGTAGGAATGCTTACATATGGAACCTCTATAAGTCATGCAGTGATTAGTTATTAATATGCTTCCTAAAGAGCTCTGGGCCAGAAGCTGCTAAAGACCCTCATGGCTTCAGTTGCCTGCCTTTTCCTCTCTGTGCCGTCACCTTCCTATCTGCACAATGGGAATATTGATCCTCAAATTTCTCGACTGTAGAACTCTTTGTTCAAATGGAATATTTATGCAAATCAGATTAAAAGGGGCTGCTTGGGTCCACAGTGAGGTGGGTGGTAGGGAGCACTGTCCAGGGCTTTGCTTAGGAGTCTGGATAATATTGTTTGCAAAGCACAGTACTAAGTAACCCATGAGACCTTCCCTGGGCTGACCCTCCAGAGAGCTTCACTGTCCAGAGCCTGCCCTTTAGAAGGACATGACCAACATGCTGAGTGGCTCCAGCTGGAGCTGGGTGGCATAAACTGGGGGAAGGAGTCAGGAGACAAGCAAAGGACGGTCTGGGATGACGGATGGTCAAGTGAAAGGAGAAAGGGGAAGGTGACCCATAGGGTCACTGTGCATTTGTGCTTCCTTTACCAGACTGAACAGCGTGATAATTTTCATTCATTCTGATAACCTCTGTGTCTTGTAGACTTCTAAAGTGAGGTGTACATGTAACTCAGAGGTACCCTAGAGACAACTGCTGAGTGAGAGAGCTGCAAGGCAGGGAGAGAGAGGGGGAGGGAGAGTGAGCAAGCGAGCAAGCGCGTACCCCCCAGGAAGAAAGCAAACAGAGATCCCTGTGTTCAGAAACATGCTCCTGAAACTGCCCCTTAAACATTCACTCTCCTTGTGCCCTGGACGGGGCCTTCGAGAATCTCTAATGGATGCTTTTCAAACTTTAATAAAACACACAATCTATTTGTAAAGGCAGAAACCCAATGCACAAACAGATTAAAGCAAGGCTACTCTGCTTGAAGCTGGAGTGGGGGAGAGGACGGGCTGGAGACAGCCTGCCACCCAGGGGCAGTCCAAAAACCAGAGTGACAGATGCAGCTGGGCAGGCCAAGCCCTGAGGCTCTGGGAGTCCAGCCCTCTTTGTCCGGGCCTGCTCCCCTCCCCCCAGGCCTGGGGCACTCAGCTCAGGCCTCCATGTTTCTCTCCAGGCTGGAGGAGGCTCTGTTAGCAACCAGAGGACTCAGACTGCAGCGAGGGCTCCTTGTCCCTGGAGAAAGGGCCCCAGGGTGTGCCATCCGCGGTTACCTGTCGCCAGTGAACAGGCAGGGAACTGTTTCTGCTTTCCACTTCAGAGGCTGCTCTGCCAGCCGTGCAGGGGGGCTGCTGGGGACAGCCAGCACGACAGCCTGCCCTGGCTATTGTCTCTGGCCTTTGATTGGGGACAAAGGACACTGAAGCCTTTACAACTGAGAGGCTTGGCCCGTCTTGCCCTAGTTTGCGGTCACGGAGCTGGTTATCGCAGAAGAAGGCGGCTTTGTGGCTCTTCGGGCCATCTCGGCAGCCCAGTCCTGTAAAGAAGAAAAAGGCTAAGGGAGTGGGGTTTTCATGAAGCCGAACTGAGTGCATCTGAAGGCCTTTTCTTTTGGGATTCTGTGCTGCCTACTTTTTTCTCTTACAATGCTCTCTCTTTTCATAAATGGATGGCAAAAATAGATGGTCATTGTCCTCACTTGGCAAAATGGCAAGTGCATCAATATCCAAATTTAAATGTTCTGGGGATGTCTGTGAGATCTGGTAACCTCCAATACTTGACAAAATCATGAAGCTTATTTTATTTAGGCATGATTAAAATTGAATGTGTAAATAGAGTGATGTGGGAAGTGAAAGAAAGGAGGACAGAGCTGTTGGGCCCAGCTGGGAGCCTGGGGCCCAGGCTGCCTCGACTGGAAGGAGGCGGGAAGCTCAGAGAGAGAGGGCAGGTGCAGGACACTGCCTCAAATTCCTGAGACGCCTAAATTCCCTGCTCTGTAGCCCATGACCACAACCTCCAAAGGCCAGCCTGGGGGTGGGGGGCAGCAGGAGGTACTGAAAATAAGGAGCCTTAAAGGCACCCCCCACCCCTCCTCCAGCACCTGTCAGCCAGCAAATGGCAAGAGCCTTAGCCAGGGAGGAAGCTGCAGGGCCTGCTGTCGGTACCAGCTGCCTCTGAGAGGGGGCCTGGCTGGACCCAGGCTGCTCCCAGCAGCACATGTTTGCGGAGAAAGCCAGTTGTTGGGATGCCGGTGGCAGGCAGCGACTCAGCAGCTGCTGTCCCTGCCCCTCCACAGGGCTGTCCTTAACCCCCTCTCCAGTTCCACAGGCCAGACCCTCCCTGTGCCACCATCTGCCCTGGGGGCCGTCACTTCCCTCCCCTCCCACAGCACTGCGCCTGGGGACAGGACACACACTACAATGACACTGGGCACAGTCCAGATGGAGGTGACGGTGGTTGAGGGAGAGCAGCCTCCTCCACCACTGCCTTCTCCTGGGCTGACTCAGGGACCCCAACTCACCTTTGCTCCCTCCTCCCAACCTCCAGGGACCTAGGCCCCCACCCGCAGGTCTCCTGGAGCCCATCCTGACACCCAGGCCTCCTGGACACTGGTGCCCCTCCCTCGGAGGAGCTTGAGCCTCCACACTCTCACAGGCTGGTCTTCCTCACATCTTCCCCATCTTCCAGACAGTTCTAGCTCCTCCACAGAGCCTCACCCAGGCCCTCCGGCAGGATTTCTGGTTTCTGCTCTGGCTTTCAAGGCATGGCAACCTGAGGCAGCAAAGATATCTCCCATCCTCCTGCTCCCTCTCTCCTACACACCCCAGGCCAGAGGGGCCCTTCCTGCCGAAACCAGGCTCACCTCTAGCCTGTGGAAGACGGGATCTACGGGATCTATGGGATCCACGCTTTTTGGGCCAGACAGGTGCTCTGAAAGACCAAGATCCTGAGGGCCTGGGGCCAGAGGTGGGGGCAGTCTGGGGGGAGAGCCCTCCAGGCCCTCAGTGCCTGCAGCTGCAGGGCTGCACCGGGTCACCTCCAGGTCTGTGGGCCAAGTGCAGTTGCTGGAGGTGCTTTCCTGTGAGACACTGTGTGGCTCAGAATCTTCTGGAATCAGAATCTCAGAATCTTCTTTTGGAATCTCTTAAAAGCATAACACACACTCCCTGGGGCAACGTACACGTGTGCCTGAGTGTGCAAGTATGCACACACCAAATTTGCCTACCACTGCAGGGGCCTCAGACCCCTCTTCATGTGGGTCCCATGGGGGGTCCTTGGGTCCCCAGATGCCAGGTTAAGAACTTTTGCTGAAATGTGTCACAGTGAGAGAGAAGAGACCAAGGTGCCTCCCGGAGAGAAGTCTGGGTATGGGTTTTGCGGCAGCATCTCCCTGGCGTGTGACTCCAGCACGTTGTGCTGTCCCTTGGCCTCAGTTTAGCCAGGATTATGTGGGGAGCTGGACCAGAATGTCTTCAGAGCCCTTCCCAGCTCTGCAGCTACGGGGCTACCTGAGCACCTGGCTCCCACCCCCCTAGAGTCAGGCAGGGCAAGTGGAAGGGATTCTGAGTCTCTCCCTCAGCAGTGCATCCTGGGGAAGGAGGTCAGGCAGCCAGAAAAGAAAACTGAGCAAACTGTAAGTTCCCCTTTAATAAGAGAAGAAGTTCTGGGAAGTGCAGCCACTTCCTATTTGACCTTAATTTACTTTAAAACAATTCCAAAATATTTCCTTCAATGTACTCTGTGACCAGATAACCGCCCCGCCTTTACAAGGATCTGGGTTTAAAGCTCTGCTCTGTGGTTCATCAGCTCTGTGACCTTAAGCAAAGTCCCACACTCTCTCTCTCTGGACCTCAGATTCCTCAGTTGAATCACAGACTGCTGCAAGATGTGTCTCACATGGAACTCACCCTCTATAAACCAACGGTCCATGACAGGTCGCAGTGGGAGTCAGAAGAGATAGCAGGTTTTGGAAATGGGGATGTGGGACTCAAAGAGGAGGGCAGTCCTCCCAGCTGGAGTGGCTGTGAGCAAGGACATCTGGCTGAGTTTGCTTTCAGAACCAAGCCCCAGGTCCCCAAAGGCCCAGTCCAGAGTGCCTTCTGGTGGACCTCCGAGTCAGGGTCTCCCTGTAAGGCTTTGCATTGGCAGGATCTGAAATGCGACATGCTGAGTTCTGCTCATGTTCTTGGTTTTCTAGCATTGTCCAACTGACCTTGACTCAGAGGACCCTGGACCTTCACTCTGTTCTCTACCCTAAAAGTTAATTGCTAATCAATTGCTATTCCCTAAAAGTCTTGAACCACCAGCGCCACACACAGAGAGAATTATGACGAGAACTACTGAAAATACACTTCATCACTGACAAAGTGCTGAAACACACCCCATTACAACTTCCAGCCAGAAATTTTTTGACCTAAGTTTAATGTATTCCACCGGCTACCCCTTCCCCTTTTCTCCTCCCTCTTCCTCTCCTCTTGTCCCCCACCCCCACCCCAACCTTCCTCCCTCTAGCACCTCCCACCCTGGTGGCAGCAGCTCAGGAATTACACTGGGGAACAGGAGGCTGGCAGACCTGCATTCACCTGTTAGTTCTACCAATTCATTGCAATTTTTTTTTTTCCCCCCCTAATCATGGATACTGACAAGAAAGCTTGATTGCCCCTTGAGCAGTTTAAAACTACAGAGAAGCTAGCAAGGGTTTCTTCTGCCAGTCCAAGTATATGGTTTTGGAGTCCAACGTGCTTGGGTTCAAATTCCAGAATCCCAGCCCCATTTGCTGGAACTTTATTTAATTTGTTTATTAAGTGAGGTTACCAAAGATCTCCTTCCAGTGTTTTAAGAAAGCACTGGCCAGCACTGGCCAGCACTGGCCTTGCACTGATGGTGGAGTGAGACAGGGCCCTCCCTCTCTCAGGGCTGTGTCACATTATAAAAACTCAGAACCATCTCTCCAGAATCGAAGACTCAGGAGCATGGGGGAGAGGAGGGTGGTGGGCAGGGTGCTCTCTGAAGTCAGTGGGTGAAATGAATGAGACCTGGCACAACAAAGTCTGATTTCAAATCCTGATTCTGCCACGGACTCATCTGGGTGAAGCTGGAAAATTCCATAACTCCATAAGCCTCAGTTTTCTCGTCTGATAATGGGGATAATGAAAATAATCAGGGCTATGAGAAGTTAGGTGCCATACTGTGCTAACGCCCTTTGCACAGGTCTGGGAATCAAGCAAATCCTTTATAAATAGCGTGGTTAGGCAAGCCCCTCCTTCTGCTATTATCTCGGCGCCGGTTTTCCATCTGTGAAATCTGAGAGTTGTGCCAGAGCCTCTTTAAGCCTTTCCCCCAACTAAGATCAATGCCTAAGATGAGAGACAAGGTGAGCAAAGGTGTAGCCTGCGGGCCGCTCTCACCTATCATGCCCAGGTTTGAGACCCTGAAGTGCCTTCCCCCAGGAGAAGGTGACTGGCACAGTGCCCACTCTCAGCAATGGGCCTGAGGCCGGGGCTGTGCCAGGCTGGCAGGGGGAGGGAACTCTGCACGCGGCAGCCAAGGGGCACCGGTGCCCAAGCTCCAGAGTCCACGGCTGGGGGCGAGTGCGGGCTCGGGGAGGGGGAAGACGGTGCTCCCTGGACGCCCCCAAACTCCTGCCTGTGCATCACTCACCCTCCGCTCATCGCGCAGTCCAGAAGCCGCTGCCCGCGCTGTGCCCTCGCCGGCACCCGAGTTCTGTCGGCAGCGCCTAAAGCCCGGGGTCCCCGGGGCTAGGCGCGTAGGGCCCGCCCCTCCCCGCGCCTCCCCGCCCCTCGCCCGGCTCTGGCCAATGGCCCACCCCATCTGCCCCCTCTCCGCCCCGCCCCTCCCCGCCTTCTCCCCGCCCCTCATCTCTCGCAGGCCAATGACACTGCCCCGTCCGTCTCGCCCCGCCCCCCGCACTCAGGGAAGGGTGGGCTCCGGGCGGTGCCGGAGGGGCGGCGGGGAAGGATTAGGGAGTCAGACCAGAGAGACGACGAGGGCACCCGGAGACGCTTGGAGGAGGCAGCCCAGACTCTGCCAGGAGGGTTCGGGTGTGGGCGGAGTCCGGGACTCTTGGGTTTCCAACAAAGGCCGCTGCGTGGGCGCCGAAATTACTAGTGTGCCCTGGGGAGGACGTTATCAGTTAAAGCCAGAGTATTGTTATCTCTTTTGCTCAGGGGTCACCTGTGTGGGGTCCTGCTGTTTGACTGGCGTGGCCTCTCTCAGCTCCACCGCGTTTAAGAAATCGAATCCGATGGTCAAGAGGATATAAACTTCTCTCCCAGTCACTGCCAGCTGAATGAGAATTTGCAGGCACCGAAGCAGAGGGGACGGAAGCCTACAGGCCTTTGGGGGAACTCAGACAGTTCAGAGTATAGGCGTGATGGGGGTGGGGAACGGGCTGATGGAAACATTTGTAGTTTCTGTTTAATATCACCATCCCTAGTCCTGACCTCTGGACCTCTTTGCCTCTACTCTCAACACAAATCATTTTAGTGTCATTCGATCTGTGTGGTTCTTAATCTTTGTAGAAACAGATGGTGATTTTAGAACCTGATATACACCTTCTAGCAAACAGCAGGTAAAGTCAGCCTGGGATTTGAGTTTTTGGGCCCCTGGATCCCTCTTGAGAGGTGCTGTGCTAATCATTGTTGTCAGGGCTGTGGGATTTGCCACCAAGAAATTGGGCTCTGCTGTCTTTTTCCTGTATGATGGTGCCATGTTGCAATTGCTCTGGGCCTCAATTTCTCCACCTGCAAAAGTAAGGGAACTAAAGATGACCAGAGATGCTTCAACTTTGCCTTTGCATGAATCTGTGGAGAATGACCCATCCTTGGCCAGCTCAGGGCTTCCCTGTGGTCAGGGACCTTCCCAAGTCCTGCACAGCCCAAAGGTCTGGTCATCAAAGCTGAGGCCAATAACTAATGTTTCTGAAAGTTTCTGGAAAACAGTGAGCAAAATTCAACAGAAACCTTAACCTCTGAGTATTCATTTTATGCTCAATAGGTAAATAAACATAGCCAGGGTAACATACAATTTCCCTGGGTCTTTCCAGCACTCAAGAATGAATCATTCTGGGCGCCTGGGTGGCTCAGTGGGTTAAAGCCTCTGCCTTCGGCTCAGGTCATGATCCTGGGGTCCTGGGATCGAGTCCCGCATCGGGCTCTCTGCTCAGCGGGGAGCCTGCTTCTCTGTCTCTCTCTGCCTACTTGTGATCTCTGTCTGTCAAATAAATAAGTAAAATCTTAAAAAAAAAAAAAAAAGAATGAATCATTCTCTCTTATCTAGTTGATACTATGTCTGGGGCCCAAATAGCCTGGAGGGATGATTGTATTTGAGGAAGCAACCTGATGTGTCTTGAACTCCCACTGTGTGTCATGAACCCACACAATCCCCTCAACATCCCCGGGGAATGGGTATTTCCTGGATTTTATAGGGAACACAAGTGTCCATCATCAGGTCCTTAGTTCCTCCTGAAGGAGGATCACTTTTCCTTCAGTTTTCAATGTAACTATATTTGGTCTCTAGCTCATTTATGGTGGGTGTTGTGGATATTGTTAGTTGCCAATCCATTATCCATTTTCTTCTTTGGAAAAAAGAGAGGAAGGAAGGAAAGGAACAGAAATGGAAAAAATTGGGGACGCCTGGGCATCTCAGTCTGTTAAGTGTCTGCCTTTGGCTCAGCTCCTGATTCCAGGATCCTGGGATCCAGCCATGCCTCAGGCTCCCTGCTCAGTGTGGGGTCTGCTCCTCTCCCTTGTACGTTCTCTGTTTCTCTTTCTCTTTAAGAAATCTTTAAGATTTCCTAAATGAAATCTTTAAAAAAATAAAAGGAAAGAAGTTGAGGGGCGGGGGTAGCTGGTGACTTCTTTGGATCATGACCACTTGCATTTTTCACATGGCACTTGCAACAACCTAACTGTGGGTCATGAAATTAAGTTAGTAGATGATGTGACTTGTATTTTTAAAAAAATGGAAGAGAAAATACCAATTTACAGCACACAAAGTAAATATAAGTTGTGTCTTATGAAACTTCTGTTTGTATTATTTATGTTTTAGTTACATGCATTAGGCTGATATGAAATATGTTTCTCACTGTGGGCTATGGTCAAAAACGTTTGAAATCCACTAAGTCAATCTTGACAATCCTTTCCATGGCTTTCCCAGCTTCCTTTAAAGCTAGTGGGGCCATATGACCCACTTGTAGAAGGAATAGATATCCCTTTCACATGCCTTTCTGTCTCAAATTTGGATATCATGTGGAATTTCTGGAGCACTGGCAGCTGTTTTGAGATCATGATAAAAAACATGCCCATATGCTAAGGCTAGTGGACCAAAAAGATAAAAGGAGTCTGGGTCTTATTAACATCATGGGACTATTGCACCATGCCTGCACTGCCTACTCTAGTCCTGTCATGGAAAAACAATAAACCCCTATTTGTTTAAGCCAGAGACTTATGTTTTCAATAAAGGTCCAGATAGTAAATATTTTGGCCTAGTGGGCTAAATGGTCTGTGTTGCAACTACTTAGCTCTGCTATTGTAGTTTGAAAGCATCCGTAGACCACATGTAAATGAAGGGACATGGCTGTGGCTCCAATAAAGCTATTTACAAAAACAGGTGGTGGGTCACACATGACCTAGGCTATAGTTTGTTAACTCTTTTCCTAGATGACCTTGTCTGTATTCTCTGACCTCATCTCCTCCTATTTGCCCTCCTCTCTGCTCTGGCAATGATCTTTTTCCTACATAGGCCTACTCCCACCACAGGGCCTTTGTACTTCCTGTTGTCTTCCTGGTAGGCTCTTCCCCGATATGTCCATAAAACATATTCCTTTGTCTTCTTCTGGTCTTTATTCACAAATCACCTTCTCTTCAAGGTCTTTCCTGGTCCCCTAACTAAAATGCTCCTCACTGGCTTGTGCATACTACTCTCTGGCAAGCTGTATGTTTCACTTCTTTATCATGAGCTCCTTTAGGGAGGAGACTCATTAAGACTCTTTCTGTTCCCTTCAATATTGACTCTGTCTGGAATGGGTAGTGTTTAATCAATATCTGGTATATGATTTTTCCCTTCCCCTTTCTGCCAGATTCAGGTAAGCAAACAGATTCAGGGAAGCTCAATGCTCCATCCAAGGGGACACAGTGAGTAAAGTAGAATCTGGTTTTGTACCCTGATGGCCCCAGGGGGTCATGTTTCTGCTGCCAAGGAATGACAGTAGAACAACACCTACCTCTGTTGGAAGATCTGACCTCAGGGGAGCTGAGGCCACAGAGAAGTTTCTGCAAGACTTTTTGCCTTAGCACATGGCCCTAATAGAGGAGGCTTGTGGGAGTCCATTAAGGAATGGGGCATTATCCTGTTCATCTTGAGCGATTTCACTTTTTATAACATTCTTGCATTAGAAAGTCTTTAGAAAAGTCATTAATTTTTAAAATTTTTTAGTAGATTTTATTTATTTATTTGACAGAGATCACAAGTAGGCAGAGAGGCAGGCAGAGGGAGAGGGGGAAGCAGGCTCCCTGTTGAGCAGAGAGCCCTAAGCTGGCCTCGATCCCAGGACCCTGAGGTCATGACCTGAGTCGAAGGCAGAGTTTAACTCACTGAGCCACCCAGGCACCCAGAAAAGTCATTATTTTTAAAACAGTATAGACTTGGGGCACCTGGGTGGCTCAGTGGGTTAAAGCCTCTGCCTTTGGCTCAGATCATGATCCCAGGGTCCTGGGATTACGCCAAGCATCCGGCTCTCTGCTCAGTGGGGAGCCTGCTTCCTCCTCTCTCTCTCTCTGCCTGCCTCTCCACCTACTTGTGATATCTCTCTCAGTCAAATAAATAAATAAAATCTTAAAAAAAAAAAAGTACAGACTTGTAAGATCCATAAAAAGCCAAATGGAAAAACTCATGATCCAACATTTTTGGTAAAGAAGGAACCACAAGAATGAATTTGTGTTTGATTTGCAGGGGGCTACGCTTAAAGGAGCCCACGCCTCATAGAACACAGGAGAAGTCTTGCACCAGATAAGGCTGCCCCCGGAACAGGGTGCGGGCTCAGCTCTTGCTCACTGCTTCTTAGCACCAGAACAGTGTTCCAAGAAGGCTGAGAAAGCACCTTCTTTCCTCTGGTTCTTCCATAGGCAAGTCGTGAAAACGCCTGGGTATAATCACATGTTTTTGAGATGCAACTTAGATTTCTCTGAGTCTTGAAATACAGGTTTTCGTGATTTAACATAAATGCTATTGATAATGAGGATCGTTTTCTAGACCATTCTCTGAAAACGGTAAAAGAGAGTGTGAATTAAAATTTCTGGTTAACTGCCTGGATGACTTGTATGATTTTTTTTCCCCCTTTACTGTCTCTGACATAAGATTCAGAAAAAGTGATTTTTAAAGCATTTGTCAAAATCTTCATGATTTCAAATGTATATGCTTTAGAAAACAATTGGATGATTGCACTTGACTGAGGTCTGTAAGATCCAGTTTAAACCAAGCATCTTTTCTTTGCCTTTAATGGGCTCTGTTTTATTAAGCCCACCAGCAGGAAGAGGCCACTTACGGAATGCTTCTTGCACCACTCGCTTTGATGGAATCCTTGGGTAGTGAGGTCATCCCACTGCATGATCTTAACATAGAGAAGGATTTGCCATCGGTTTCCAGATGATTTCTCAAATAATCTGCATACTATCTATCCTTCTTCCCTATGTGAAA